GCTGCTCCCACCCTTATCACCCGCCTGCTATCTCCTGGCAAGGTGCGGCGCTAACGAGCCGCGGTTAGGTGAAAGCTGCTCCCGTACCATTTATACCATTTATGCTTTCGTAGGGCAGCAGTTCCCGCCGCGCTGACATGGACATAACGCCAAAGCCAATGACGAGGGATGGCTCTTCGCTGCCGCACCCCAAAGATGGCCGTCCGCGTGTCACACACCTGGACGTGGCCATCCCTGTGTCACGCACCTGAAACGGAGCTCACAGCGCTCCGTCACTCACACGCACGCCCAGCGGCCACTCCGTTCCATCAAACACACGCACACAAACCCCCGCAGCGCTTCTCCCTCAGGGACACCTGTGTGTGTGTTGTGTGTGCGCCCTGGATCTCTGATGGCACTGCAGATTCTGAGCGCTCAGCCCCACGCCGACCCGAATGCACTGCAGGGCTGTGATGCCACACCTGGATGGGGATCACCTGTCGTGTGCTCAGCGCTGTGTCTGGAGCAGCAGACGGCCCTGTGGGGATGTAACTCATCTGTCCAAAGTCTCCAGGTGCAGCTCAGATGATTTATAGTGGCCTCGTTATGCAACGAAGGCAGTTCATTATTTAAAATTCTCAGAGTAAAGATAGGTTAGGTGTACATTATGGGTGGCAGTTCCCATCTGAAGATGCCACTTCGTGTGTCAGGGATGTGAGCAGCCCTGTGCCCATTCATCACAAATCCCCGAACGACTCCCGCACAAGTGTCTGTAGGAAAAAAGGAGAACACTTCCTCTGCTTCCCTGCATGAACCCACAGTCCGTGGGCAATGGAAGCTGCAAGGCCGGCCGAGCAGCTCTGATGTGGGGGTGATGGAGCAAGAAAATGCGGTAGAACTCTTCTACCAAGGGTTGGCTTCCCCATGTGTCGTGAAAATCATGTCAGGGTGAAAAAGGGAAAATGGAAAAAGGGAAAGAGGAAAAAGAAGGTAAAAAGAAAACAGAGAAAAGAGGGGGGGAGGGGGGAAAGAAAAATTGAGAGGAAAAAAAAGGAAAAAGGAGAAAGAAGAAGAAAGAAGGGAAAAGAAAAAAGGAGAAAAAGGGAGAAAAGAAAAAAAAAAAAGGAAAAAGGGAAAAAAAGGGGGGTGGGAAAAGAAAGGGGAAAAAAAAAAAATAGAAAAAGAAGGAAAAAATGAGCTCAAAGCATGCTGCTGCTGGGCCAAGTGGGCCAAGGGCTGCAGATGACGCTCTGCCCCACCACCCAAGCCTCACTGTTAGCTGATTCATCCGTGTGCTGCCATCATCCCAATGGGATGGGCTCCATCGAGTGCAAAGCAGTGGGCAAAATCAGTTTGCATCTGTCTTCAGAGCACACGTGTTGTTCAGCACGTCGAGCTGCAGGGATGGGGAGCAGGCAGCTCTTTAGGCATGTAAAGAGATCCCGACTGCTCCCAGCACACACCTGTAGAGCCACCAGGTAGGCACAGAGGGAGATGGTGTCCTAATTGCTTTACACTAATTTGAGCTTTTTGTTTACCTTTTCTTTTGCTTGGAAGAAAGGGGCCACTGCAAATAGAGGTAATGCAGCTACGTGCACCTCAGCAGCCGTGCAATAAGCCCAGGTATAGCAAAGGGAAAGCAGCACCCAGGTCTCCAACCTTTTGCTCAGTACTGACGTATGGCATAGCAAAATTAGAGCCAGCGAAGCTTCTGCTTTGTGCTTGGTGCATGCCACGGTCCCCACAGAAGGTACCGAATCTCAAGCAGGTATTTTAATTCTCTTCCTTGGAGCATGCACAGAAGATTGTGGAGGAGTGGGTCAGACGTGAAGTGCTCTCTGAGCACAGAAGGCACCCACACCCCGTCCCGCTCCCCACGCTCTGGGTACGTTCTGTTACTGCATTGCATCATCAGCATTCATTCAAATCAGAAATGTGTTTCTTCTTTCATTCTTAGCTCACGTTGAAACGTAACACTGCAGTTAAACTTCTGTGCCGCTGTTGGCCTTCTCCCCCGTTGTGTGTTTCTGTGCTGCACTCAGTGAATTGCTGGTACCTGGTGTTGGCATTTATCACAGTCCGTGAGCTGACAGCTCCCCCAGTGCAGGGAGGCTCACAGCCGCGTTGTGCTGAAAGTGAATTATTTCCAATTACAGTTAAATGTCCCAATTGTGACAATTGCAATAAATGTTTTTCCTGCTGGTCTCCAGCATTCCATTTCCTATAGACAGACACAGGGATGGAACATTTTCGACCAGTCATTCCAGGATCCTTTTATCCCCAAGGAGAGGACCGTGTGCTTTTGAAATGCACTTCATCTCACCCTGAGTCTGACATTTGAGAAAAGGCAAAAGAATTTCACCAGAAAAGTGCTTTTTGTCTCTACTGCCTGCAGGGCAATGTGCTCCAACAGAGGCCTCACAGCATAGGCTTCTGACGCAGGTGAGCAGTGGACCACCATTTGCAAGCAGCTGAGATTCTCCTGACCTCATTTTCGTAATTTCCATTCCACTTGCAGAAATCTGAGGACGCAGCACTGAATGTTTAACTCGGCTCCCCAACCTGCACAGCAGCACGGGGCAGCACAGAGGCCCGCTGTGCAGAATGCAGGCAGAGCACACACGACTGCCAGGTGCGTGGGACCGTCTTCAGATCAGTGGCACCTGGGGAATGGCACCCCACAGAACAGCACTTTCCCCTCCAAACCGTTGCCAGGTTCAGCCAAACACTGAGTGCCTGGCTGAAGAGAGATGAGTTTAAGCATCTGCTTAAGTCAAAGCATTTGCCGTGTTTCTGCCGCACCATGCAGCTATGAAAACACCTCTGTTTTCACACTGACTGCTGAGCATTTCACACAGCACCACATCTCCAGGGAGCCGTGCAGCGTGGGTCTGTGTGATGAAGTCCTGCTTGGGGTCCCCACTGCAGGCTGGTATGGGCCGTTGGGGACTTGGAGGCATCATTCTCCTAGAAAAACCATACATCTCGTCTGATGCAAAAACATGAGCTAGCCTTTACTGTGCAATTAACAAGAAACTTGAGTAACAACGAGTGAAAGCCTCGTGAGCAGGCTGAGGCTACAACGACTTCACTATTTCTGCTGTCTGTACCCACACTACACTTCCAAAGCACAGCTATTGCCATTCGATGGAAATGTTATTTGCTTTGCTGCTGGACTTAGCTGTACTGCTGTTGCTCAAATATTAGGAAACGCTCCTTAGAAGGTCACTGTAACGCCAATGTGTGGATTTGGCACTGCAAATCCCCATACCTTTCACCACGCACTGGCAGCACACAAAGAAAACCCAAATAAATTGTGATCTTCACAGATACAGATGAGTTTTGCAGGATTGGCTTGAATGGATTAACGGAGCCACAGCCTAAGCAGAAAATGCTCCTTCGGAGATCAAAAAAAAAAAAGAAAAAGCCACTTCTTTGGCTTACCGAACAGCGTTATGAGGATAAACTGCTGCCAGCAGCCTTCCCAATGATGTTCTCTTGATGGCAGCAGTACCTTTGCTGGCCCCGGTGGTCTCTGAGCTGTGGCCGTGCCCCTGACTCATGGTGCTGCCAGAGCACCAGGGCTGCTGCGTGCAGAGCCGTGCTCAACACCACGGGAAGGAAGGAGCACAGCGAACACGATGGGACACGAGCTGCACGTGGGGTTCGTCCTATCTGTCTGCTGAGAAGTTATTGCTGCCTTTTAATGAGTCCAAAGGGGACTTCTTAAACACGCAATTCACAAGGCTCTGCTGGTCCCACTGTGCTTAACGGCTCGTGAAAGCAGTAACGGAAAGTTATAGATTTTATCCCACTGTCTCGTCAGCTCTCAGTTTAAAATAGAAACTCATTATCTCATTTCCACAGATGATAAAATAAATCCACGTCACACCAAGCAGAAAGCAAGCACGAAGGACGCGAGGTGCGTGAACAGCTGGGAGCTCTGCTCAGGGATAGGACTAACTTCAGAGGCAGCATCGAACCTGAGCTCCGAGTTCATGACCTACAGCTCCTTTTGCACAATTCCACACCAAATCTTCCATCAGCTCTAACATCAGCCAGTTCCCTCTAACCACTGATTCAGAACTATTGCAGTACTGTTTGGCAGGTACGCACCATGCAACTGATGGAGTCACAGAAGAGTGGCATTGACAATACAGACCTGACACAAATCTGAGAACCACGAGGGCATCACAGCTCTTGGGTATCGAGCATGAGGTGAGCAGTGCTTGCAGTGAGGCACTTAAACCAGAACCCGAAAGGTAATTCGTGTACAAAGCCATCACCAGGTACAGTTACTCACACTGCCCTCAGTTCTGTTTAAGAACAGCTGTGTGTTCTATGCACAGTGTTAATGCCCTACTGCCCTCCCAGAAACAAGACATTAGCAAAGTAAGAAAGAAACCACACCACCATCACACAGTGTTAAACAGAGGATGGGTAGAGGAGCGCTCAGTGTGGGCAGGTACAGTGAGAGGATTCCAAATGGTGCCTCACACAGTGCTGTTCCAGCCAGTCCCCAGCTCTATTTGGAGAAAGGTCTGTGCTAACAGAATGCTGATGGTACAAATGCCAGAAAAGATCCACCTCTCTGTGCTCAAGCAAGGAATGCCAGAGAGGATGGGATGTAAGCCTTAGTGGGATTTACAGCAATTAGAAATGTAACCAATTTAATTGTGCCAATTAAAATACTTCGCCCACACCAGCATGCTGTATGGAACAGACCCACAGGTCCCATCCTGTGCTGTTGGAGGTGGGAAGTGGAAATTCCCAAAACAAGGCAGCGTTGTGCACAGCTGAGAAATTTCTGCATGCTGTGCAAACAGTGACGCTGAGCTCCTTCATCTCACAGCAAATCTGCTCTGGGTTGGACTTCCAACAGCAGTGAAGAGCCATCTCTGGCTCTTCGTCCTGCACTCCCTACACAAAGGAGCTCCACAACATCCGCTGTCTCTGCCACTCCAGCCCAGCTGGGCAGTTCGAGAGGAACAGGGAAGAGTCACAGTTACCAGAACAACAAATTTAAACTTGGCAAAAGTAATGAATTTTATTTACAAATACAGGTAATGAGGATTACAACTGAAACACTACCGAAACTCCATCTCAAAAACAATGATTTATTGGTAACGGCATTAAATGGAGTCTCAGGCTATGGTCAAGCAATTATCCAGGAGCTGTAGAGAGAAGTGAAGATCTCAGCTGGCTGCAGTAAGGCCTTCCAGTGTCTTGCACATCCTTAGTGGCTCTCTCCTTTTTTGCCAACTACCTGGTAGAGGAAAAGACAGACAGTGGCAATGAGCGGTGAACCCAGCAAGCGGCACTGGACTTTTTTTTTTTAGTCAGCATCAAAAAATCAACAACCACAACATTTTTCAACTACATTAGTGCAGCTGAGCATGCACTGCTGCATGTGAAGAAGCTGTGAATCCCTCTGAGGTGCTGAGGGCTGCAAGACACAAGAAACTCTTATCTTCAGTGTGAATAAAAGCAGCAAAGTATCAGTCTCACTTGAGAAGAGTTAGAAGACAGGAACTGCACAACACATCACATTTAGAAATGTTATACACCCAGCACTGGACCTCAGAATGCTCTGTGAAATAACACAGCAGGAAGAGAACCACAGGGTGCTCCAATAATGTTTGTTCCTTTCCCTTGGTGACCCTACTGTGTAAGTGCCTGACAGCATCTACCTTACCATGCAGCTCAAACCTGAGGAGAGATCTGGATTTTCAGTTATTCTTAGTGAAAACATTATTCCTTATGAAGACCACTCCTAATCTCCAATTCTACAAACCCCACCAGCCATCTCAGCACTTCTCATTTGCAGAGATTACCACTGCCACCACCAGACTTTGGTGAGATTTGCCAGCCAACAGCAAGGGAAACACCAGCACTCTATATTCTGCCATACAAGCTTACAGTTAGCACGGCTCATTAAGGAAGGGCGTTGGGTCCCGTTCGTTACAGATACTGGACACAGGCATCACAGCAGGAAGTGATGCAATTTTAGTCATTTTTCTGAAAAGGTAATCCCAGTGCTCTTCCCGACTCTAAAATTAAATACCCATTTCTAAGTCAAAACAGAATAAAAAGGAAGCTTTAAAACTTTGGACTTGAAGCTGCAGGAGACCTTTATCAAGACACCAATTGCCAACTCATTTCCATCTAACCAAAGTAGCACTTGGAGCTACGACAACGTTTTGTCTGAATTAGCTTGAATAGAGGTTACAGAATCTACGTTAATGGAAGATAGGATTTCCAATTACTACTCAAAGTTGAAAACTAAGGAGTAAAATCTCTCTTGTGCTCTGATGGACTCCTAGAGCCAGTATGTTGAGCGTTAATTACCTCTGCAACTAAATGACAACATACCACACAAGATTCCCACAGGCAATAGTGACATACAGAACTGTAGGAGTACCATACCACAGACAAAGGATGAAACCTCCACAACCTTGACTTAGAGAAGTCCCACTCCTGGAAATACTCTTCCCAATTCTTCCCCTTTTCTTCCATGTCTTGGAGGGGGCACTTCATTTTGTCTTTAGAGTATCCAACTGCTTTTGGTGAACTGAGTTACCACTATCAGAAAGTAATTCATATCTACTGATGAAAAGCACTTTCAAAAGACCAATTTCATCTCCCAGGAACCCTTGACCAGAAGCCCTTCACCATGCTGTGACCTCAACTTAATGCTCAGTGTCAGGAAAACTCCACTTGTCAACTTAAGAAAAAAAAAAAAATAAAAAAAATAATCAGAAATCCAATCATTCACGTTAAGATCCAATTAATCAAGTTAAAAAAAAATAAAATAGTTAATCTGACAAGAAGCAGTATTTATTCCTCGTATTTCCAAAGCAAACTGTGTTCAGACACAGAAAAGCAGAAAAAAAAAAGAAAAAAGAAAAAAGAAAAAAACAGTTGGAAAATTAAAGATTAGCTGTTAGCAAGTGTATAACTTCAGTGAAAAGTATTGCAATACCAGTCTGAAGTGGGAATTGACAACACGCCCATGTGAATTATCTGTGAAAATTAATCATGTTGATAACAGGTACTTTGTCAACACAGGTAAAAGAAACATTTTCTGACCATCCCACTGTACCTTCCCAAGAAGAAAGTGTGCATACAAACTTGCACCAAACAATCATTCCTTTTCTCAGGAATGGATCAATTTTCCAGCTGTTTACAGACATAACTGCCACTTAGCACGCTCCAAGATACTGGTCACAGCCCTCATTTCCCCTACAACAGTGGAATCTTTTGAAGCAGGTCCAGCAACTGGACTCACGCTGCTGCAGCATGATCAGGCCACCCCTACACAAACACCATTTAGCTCCTTACTTTCCCTTCCCTGCTTAATTTCCTTTGAGCAAAGTGGGGAACAATAAAGAGAAACTGGCAGCCTAACTTCTTACTGCAGTCACACCAAAGTCGGACATCAATCTTGACTGAGATAAAGAAAAAAAAAATAATCAAGTTTTCTGTAGAGCATTTCACAAACTCCATTACAGAATTCAAATCAAGCTGAAAAATGAGTTACAGACAAAAAAAAAAAAAGCTGTAAAACTGCTAGATGGTGTGCTTTTAAAAATGTCAACTTTGGGATAGAGTACAGTTTGTGAAACTGTAAGAAAGGGAAGTGTTTAAGATAAGATTTAGATTGGGGGGAGAGAAAGAAGACAGATGAGTTGACGCATCAGAAGGTAAAGAAGGCCGTCCCTGATTGCAGAAGGTACAGACATGGGTCTTGCATCAGTGCTGAGATTGTGAAAAGGGCAAAAGAGATGCTAGATAAGCAGAGGAAGCAAGGAAAGGGAGTATGCCACACCACACCAATCTGATTATTACTTTTTAATGTCTTCTGCATTTTTAGTTCTTTAGAAATGGGAAGTTACGCTGAAAAACAAACAAAGAAAGTGTTACAAGAAAAACAGCAGCAAAGTGGAGAGCAGTAAGTTGTTCTGAAAAGCCTTGATTCAGGAGGAGACCAAGAAATCCCCACCTGCCCATATCCCCAGCCTCTATAAAGGGGCAGCGAAGTTAAACCAGACATAAACAAGAACTCTATTGGCATTGAGTTGCATGGTCTTCCACAATTAATGAAATTTACCAGTGCATCACCTGGCTCACAGGATTTATGACTAAGCTCCCAGTCAGGAGTCAAAAGGTCACAGAACTTCACAGATGTCACTCAGCATCAGTTGCTTGCCTCTCAGTAGTTTGAGAAGCATCCAGGGCACTGGAAACAAACCTCAAATGTAACCTCCTATATCTTGAGTGCGGTCTGGTATAGGGCTGGGATTCTTTAATTCTGCCTTAAATCAGATCTCATGAAGACGAGAAGCAGAAATAATTTGGATTAAATTAAAAAGTCATACATTTACAGCAGGCTTTTCAAAAATTACTTCAGAATGTGAAATATGTATGGGAAGAAAATGTTAATTGCAATCTTCTGCTTCTGGGGGCCCTTTATTTAAGTAGGGCAAAGAGCCTGAGCTGTTCCCCCCATCACTTTCAGCTCTTACCTCACAGTTCTGCAGTCAGTTTATACAACTTCTCTTCCCTGTGACCCCCTTTCCTGCAACTCCAAAGACTTCCTCCCAGAGGATAAAAATCAAATTCAGCAGTCTTACTGATCAGGAAGAGGTCATGCTTACAGCCCTGGTGGTGTTTCAGAGCAACATGAGCAAATTCAAATCTTCCTAGACTGAAGGACACAGTGGTTGCTGTCACACACCTTAATAACCTATTGCTGAACAGTGAGCTGCTACAACCAACCCTGCGTTCACACCCCACTACATCTAGGTATCAAAATACATAGGCCTGATCCTCAGCAGAATCACTGAAACCAATGTTTTGCTCAGTGGTGGGTTTCTTTTTCCAAATTGAAAAAGAACATGTATAGAATCACCTGAGCAGCAATGATTTGAACGACAAAAGCATGGCTGGACTCATGCTCGTGTCTACTTCTACATTCTAACGCTTCCATCTAGAAATAAGTGATTTTTACAAACTCTTCAAAAAAAAAAAAAAAAAAATCAGGGGAAAAAGCACTTGTCCTCTCTTGTTAATTATGTTTCAATACTGCTTCTACCATAACTAGAAGAGAAATATGCATTGCATAAGTGGACTGAGCTAAGGCAGTGAGGCACCTGAAAGCAGTAAGGAGTGGGTCTTTTCGTCGATCATAGAAGACAAAAAGAAACATGAAGTTTCCCTGTTGATCTGTCAGCCTAAATATAACTAACACTCAACACTACATTAAGGTTCCATAGCTGGCAGGACCAGTGGAAGTGAAGGAACAGAAGTTCAGATTCCTGAGTACTTTGGCTTCCACGTCCCATTTGCTATGACAACATATTTTAACATCCTAACATTAAACTACATGTTCCAGAAATGAATATTCCTATTTTGTACAAAGTTGAGGAGTACTTCAACCAGGAAAGGATTAGCAGCCTCAAAAGCTAGCAGTGTATGCTCTTCCGTGAGGAAGTTCTGAGCAGTTCTAGACATTCTGATAATACCAGTGCAGTGCTACCCAGCGTTAACATTTAAGAAAGATACAGGTCCTGTAAGCTGGTGCTTCCCTCCCTGTCCCTTCCAGTGAATGTCACAAATCACATTCCTCAGTAGTGCAAAGACATTCACACGTGAAACCAAAACAGTAACTAGTGTGGTATTTAACAGGCTATACAGCAGCTTTCAAGCAACTGCACTGCATTTAAAACCAAAACAGACTTAAAAATCCCCTTGTTAACAACAAACAGGTAAGACTCGTTCTATTTTTTAATACCTTCATGAGATTTGTGTGCAAGAAGTCAGAATGACAGCTCAGGCTGGAAGGGGCATTGAGAGATCATCGGTTCCAGCCCTTTGTGGAAAGTGTGCCAGGATGAGACCACCTGAGATGCCCTGTCCCATGGATTCCACCATGTGCCTGCAGAGCCTGTTTCAGTGATCAGTCGTTCTCACTGTCAAACCATTTATCTCATCTTGAGATGTAAACTCTGAGTGGAGCTGCATCTGTTGCTGCCTGTCTTCTCCATGTGGCTCCTAGTGCAGAAGGGTCTCTTTGTTTAATGATTACCCTTAAGTACTTCAGCGTGAACTACACACAGACCTTAAAAAGTCTACTTTAGCTGACACTGACAGGAATAAGGCTGTTACAGCTTCAGACTAAGAAAGCATGTGAGCACTGCATCCAATTTACTGTTTTGCTCTCACAATTTAAAACATTGTAGGAAACATCATGTGGCTCACTGCTAGTCACTAGTGCTCATGATATCCCACAAGAACTATACATTGCTTAGCCAAAGGCACCTCTGTCAAAATTATCCAAGGAAAAAAATAACAGATTTAAAAGAGTGTGCCTTTTAGAAAATAAACTTTTGGAAAGCAGAGTATTTATGGAGTGTACAGAGAAATGGAACTGAGACAGATCAAATACTGAAACTATCAGTGTAAGAGTGCCACTTTCTTCCTCAAAATAACAGAGAAGTACTGCAGATTAATCATGTGACATTAAATAGTAATGGCAAAACCCACTGCAGGCTACAGTTCTGCTATCCTACAAAAAAACATGCAAGCAGGTTCAAAATGAATTAACCTATCTCTAGTTTTGAGTAGAACAGATGTGTTCCTTTAGAAATTTCTAAAATTGGTATCCATTAAACTTAGAGCATCTTTTTCAATGGCTTCATATTTCAGTAAGTTGGCAAAACTTTGTCAGGCATCTATTCATTAACATCATTACTCATTTTATTAAGTTTTAGAAGAAGATGTTAGATCAAGTTTTAACGTAAAAATCAGAGTACATAACGTGGCAACTGTTAGCATTTTTAGCCTTCTGAAGACATAGGTGGCTTGTGGAATAAATTCTGGGTCTTTCAATGTCAATAGTTGCATGGACCGCCCAGTTTGGAAGCAGTGGTGTTACAGCTCTATTTGTCTTTGTAAAGAGGGTAAGTCTTAAAGCAGTTTGTTTTTAACAGATACTACATTCTAAAGGAAAGCTGTAAGTAGCTTTGAAAGTTTCAATACTTTCAAACCCATTTCACATTCTCAAAAAAAAAAAAAAAAAAAGGAAATGAGAATGCTTTATCCTTCAGCATTTATCGGCCTGAAGTCATAACATAGCAAGTTGTTTCATTCCCTGATCAGTGTTAAAAAGTGTGTTTAATGTCATATTTACCTTGTGATCAATAATTTTTTGGATCTTGAGTTTACGTAGTGCTGCCTACTGAATAAAATCCATAAAATCCTTCACCAAAACAGCCACCAAGCCAATCACAAGGAGTCTGTCTATTTCATATGGAGACCTGCTTCCCTGCTTCCTGAGCACCAGCAGCATAAAAGTTTTGAAATCAAGGTACAGATCTCTCAGCTGTTAAGAAACAACACTGTCTATAGTGCAGATAACTGGACAGTTCCTCGTGTTTTCAGTAGTTGATGGACACATTCTTACCTTTTTAAAAAAGACGAAGAAGCAGTCGATGAACAAAAACAAAGGCAAGACCAAAGAGCTGTTAAGATATAGCTGCATGTTTTGTTTTGGATGTTTTGTTTTGAAATCTACCTTAAGTTGCAAAATTACAGCAACTGAGTGTATTTTAGTCAACTCTTTTCTGGATGAATTTAAAACATTTGTAAGTGCTTTTAAGAAACAAAGACTTACTCGCTTGAAGTCATTCATATTTGTTGCTTGGACTGGAGTTCCAATAAACGTAAAGTACATAATTCTTGTTGTCTCTTCATCCCCGTGATTAGACTGGACAAACAACTGAAAAATCCCAAAACACAAGCACTAAGGTGTGATGAATTCCTGAATTAGTGCACGAAGTGCTAGGCTCTCAGGATCTTTGAACTAACCACAGAAATGCTTTATCCAATCATAAAGGCCTCATTACCCTCTGGAGAAGCAACTGTCCTCTTATTTTAAATGATTACATAGAATGCTGTTATTTTCCCAGTGGTTTACTTAAAAGCATACACAGCTTGGAATTTCCCAACTTCCATTTCCAATCTGAGGACATATTCAGCAATCAAACAGGATATAAAGTCACAGTTCACTCTTCATTTAAATCTCACTCTAAATAAAGTTCAATATGAATAGTCTTAAGGCCTCCATTTCTAAGTGTACCTTATTACTACAGTCTGCACAATTACATGCTTTACAGCATAAACACTAGAACTACAGATTTATTTTAGCAATTGCTTTACTTACATGTCTTTGCAAAAATTTCTTTTACTTCATTACCTGTACTGAAAAGTCACGAGGTGGACAAAATGACTTTTTTTTTTTAATTCTTGAACACAAAATCCAGGTTCAGCAGGGAAACTTTGGAAACGTTACCGTGGGGTACATAAGCAGAGTGCAAACAAGCAGAACTTTTATTTGATCGCCCTATCACTTGCCTAGTGTTTGCACACTGTCCTGCCAAAAGCTAACACGGGATTTGATTAAATAATAAATACGTGGCTTGTATTTAACAGCATAGTTTTGTGGGGTGTAAGTCTACGTAATCTATCACCATTTCATCTGCGAGAGCATAAATTTGGGTTGCAAGGAGGGTGCCCTATCTGCACCCTACTTGCACACCACTTCTTGCCTCCTGATCTCTCCAAAGGAAGACAAGATGCCTCTCATGAAGGTATGATTGTAAAAATGCAGTAGGATTAAGTACTATGCTAAGTCCTGAAGAGGTGAAATGAACCATCTCTCACATAGTGGGTGAGAGATATGGCATGCACGTTGCCCTGGTTCACCCAAAATTTCAGAAATGCTTTGAGCATGAACAAACAGTACGCCATCAGTGGTGAGCAACTAAAGACATCTGCAGAGAAATCAACATCACAGTGCTCTAGAAGCCTATACAGTTTTCAGCCCCAGCAGATCATACAGGATTTACTTACAGTTACACTGTTAACATTCTGAAATTTAACATAGCGAAGTTGGATAATGCCATCTTCTTTAATATCATCTGGTGTTAGCTCCAGGGCTTGAGTTGGTTCACTTCTTTCTGCTTCTTCAAAATCCATAGATCGAGGAAGATTGATAAAGATTTTTATGTACTTTGGACCTTGTCCTGTGTCAAAATACAGAAGCAGGATTCAGATGCTTTAGTGTTTTTTTCTTTTTAAATGCTGCTCAAGAAGCCCTTCCTTATCTCATCATCTAAGTGCTATTCAAAAAAAGGCACAGACTTGAGATGCAAAAGGTACAGATCTGCCATCCTCACACCACTACTCCAGACAGTGAAAGATATCAGAAGTTGAACTACTTGCCTAAGCTTCAGTGACAGAATTCCATGCAATAAATCCAACAAATGTCTAAAAAACTGTTTTTCTGTGTCATGTGTGACATTTATGTACATTGTATTCAATTTTGTAACGTAAACCAACCAAGTATCAAAATTAAGCAGTTTTTTCACTACTCTCACACTGAATTCCTGAACAGAGGTTCCCCTCACAGCATGTCCAAATACAGTGAAACTCTATTTGTGTCAAACCAAATATAAGTGCACAAGGACAGAATAATGGTAATCAGAGAATCATCACAGACTCATAGAATGGCCTGGGTTGCAAAGGACACAGTGCTCATCAGTTCCAACCCCCTGCTGTGTGCAGGTCACCAATCAGCAGCCCAGGCTGCCCAGAGCCACATCCAGCCTGGCCTTGAATGCCTGCAGGGATGGGGCATCCACAGCCTCCTTGGGCAACCTGTGCCAGTGCTTCACCGCCCTGTGAGTGAAAAACTTCCTCCTAAGGAATGTGAGATAATTTGTTGTTGATTTACACCAAATTTACTTTCTGCAAATCCCAACACGATTTCAGTAAAAGGAACTAGGGACAACAGTAACATCTTTCAACATTTAAACTAAATGTGGAGAAAGCTCAGGTTTCCAGGACACAGTTAGAGACAGAGATACCTCACTTACCATTATCTGGACCCTGAAGTTTCATAGAATAAAGCTTGACTGGCTGACTAAAAGCAACAGTAATAAGCAGCTGAGGGGGAGAGAGGAGAAATTTGTTGTTAAATACTGTTTTCTTCATTCTCCAAACAAACATAGCACAATAAATAAGCCTAAACTTACAAATAAAATGTCGTGTGCACATTCTCTATATTCCATACGTGCACCAGTCTGCCACTTTGAAGTATCAGTAAATGCTACTCTGCTTACAACTTTTCTTCAGAAACGTGTAGAAAATTGGAAATGCTACAATGAACTTTTACTTCATCCACCTTCTGTCTCCACTCTTTTTCACACTGCTACAGCAATATAAACCCAACTCATAAAAAAAAAATACTTGCAAACCAGTCACTGAAAATATCTTAATATCCAGTGTACCTGCTCATCACAATCCGATTCCAAGTACGTAGAATCTTTACGTAAACAATTATCAAATCCATGCTCATCACTTTCATTAAGACATTCACAGCCAGCTTTGTTGATAAACGGCATTAAGTCCATCTGAAAGGAAAAACAAAAGAATTGCTGACTGCACACATCTGCCACAAACTCACCCAAAAGTAGAAGGAATAAATGAAATTCTTCTCTGAGCTCATTATTAAAAAAAAAAACAACAAAAAAAAAACAAAAAAAAACCAGAGCACACAGAAAACCTCAGGGATTTATATAAAAAAAAACAACTACGGGAACTTGTTGGATGGCAACTTAAACCACCCTTCTCACACCTATATGTTTGGTCCCAAAGAGTAATGTTCTACTCATACTGAAGCCCCATATACTAGCTTTAAAATTACTACATATTACAATTCAGGTTGTAGCTTCACAATATAAACTAAATTAAAAAATAGGCTGCTTAGAGAATACAGTTCACTTCCTGTATCCTACTTCCCATAACACTAAGAACTATGTTATTCCAAGTTAAACTACTTACTGCATTTTACTTATCCCCACCCACACCATATAAAGTGAAGTGCAATGCATACAGTGGAATACTTAACACAGAGTGGAGCTGCAAGAAAATTCAAGTGACCTATGCCTTTGAAGTTTACCAAAAAGAGAAACGTCCATCTAGATTTTGCTCACATTTGTCTAATGGATATTGTCAGCACTGAATTTAAAATAGTTAACCTCAAAAAAAAACCAACAACCAGGTGTTGGACTGCACGTCATATGGGTTTCTACAGATGCTCAAAATCAAGTTGAAGATGTTTGATTTTCTCACATGAAGGGATGCACACTAAACTGTGACATGACTTAGTTACTTGGTAAATTACATTTCACCTAACTGGGTTTTATTCTGCTGGCAAAACAGCAGGCAATCTCATTTAAGGAGTAATACTACACCAAGGACTGCTTGAAGAACACCATCTCAGATAACGGCTCTAGGAAAGTGTTTTGTCACATCAGAGCTCTCACTTACATGTTTCTAAGCACAGCTATCAGGTAGGCTTGTAATTTGAAACACACAATTGCCTTGATCCAAGAGGAAAACAAGCAGGACATGAGAAATAATCTCCTGAGAGAGCAAATATTTAAGTGGATTGCTTTGCTCCATTCAGATTTCAGCCAAAAATTCAATTATCCTTATCAAGTTTTGATTTTTCTAGAATACAGGTCTAGATCATGTGATGGTAAGAAATCTATTCAAGAAAAAATATTTTAAATTATTAGAGAATAGTTAAGAACTAAATTTTAGTTAAGTGATTTAGATGCAAGGTTTTAAAAATATCTTGTCTGAGAACATGTGGCCCTCCATTTTCATGGCAAACTGCTATGCAGCTGAACTATTACGAAGGTTATTTCCTTCAAAGGATTTTTTCTTATATAAATAAGAAAGAACATTAAAGTGGCAAGCAAGAAAGAAAAACAAACTCCCAAAATACAAATCAGCCTACCACAACAAGAATAACAAAGAGGACTTCTTAAAGAACAACCAGAGCAACTTTTCAACGGCTGTGTCTAACTATGTCCTTTACCATGGAAGATCTTGCACTTCAAAAATGTTTTGGGAAGACATACTGTGAAGCTCGAGAAGAAGAAAGAAACATAACACAAAGCTGCAGATGAATCCTTATCATAAAATATTGTTTTAATCACTTATGGCTACGTGCAGACATTTGTCTTAATATATTTTACAATTTTGTCACGTACATATTTAGTAAGCATGGTTAACTTTCAAATGTTGTCCCTTAAAGCCATGGGAGCTTGTAGGTTTCCCTACAGGAGCATTATTTGACCAGAAGATGTTTGGAAAGGAACAGAAAGTTCTAACAAGTCACGTAAATTTTAAAAAGAGACTCAGATAAAATATGCTTACATATCCTTTGGGAATATCTGTATCTTCATTATTTCCAGGATCATTCTCCAGGTGCTGCTTGATTTTTTCTTCTAACCCTACAGCATCTGCTCCTTGATACTGGTCAATCCGCACTTTGTTCCGAAAGAACAGAAACGTCGGTGTTGCTGAGATATTGTTGGTAGCAGCTGTTCCCTAGAATGCATAAATTAGTTACCAGTGTTCTCTAGCACACTATTACAAACATCAGGCAAAAACACTGTTTCACATGGATGAGAATGTACACATTAATATTAATCAAGCTACAGCAGCCCCAACATCACAGTTTTTCTTATACTGCAAGAACCTTCAAGTCAGACAACAACTTGAATTGAAATGCTTCAGATCCTCCTAATCTTTCCTACATTTAGGCATTCTTTCAAAGGATTTTGTGTTAGGTTGGTCAGTCCATCATAAAAATCCTACTACTCACATGCTCTTGAAGGTGAAGATCACCTCATTTCCCATGTTACAAGCATTCTTTACACCTGTGTTACTTCCCTTTCCAAAGGGATTCATGCACACCTCGAAGGCTGCAATCTTCCACTGTAGAAGGTGGCTTCTACTTCATTTCTACCTGTATCTGTAGCACCCAGGTGTTTTTTTTCCCAAAACTTGCCATAATTTAGTGTTGTTTTAAACAGCGTTGCTACTTCTACGCTCATCTCTCTTCGTTATCATTTGCTTTTCTTGAACATTTGCAAGTTCAAGAAGCTTCCTTTCAACACACCACTGTTGATTTCTGCTAACAACCCTTAAGTCTATCAACAGCTTGTCTGCAACACTTGTCTGTTAAAAACAGACACATAGTACTTGAGAGGAATTACTGGCACTGACTTTGTAACTGTGTTACATCAGTAGAACGCACAGCAGGAACTGCTAAACGACCAGCACATCTTTTTAAAGAAGGATATCAAACTGCTAATTGCAAGAATATTTTCCTAAATGTTTGGTCACATCTCCGTGAATATAATAATTTCGGATCAATAAAATTTCTTGTTAATCAGGAAACACATAAATGGACACTTATTATACTGATCAAGCAGCTTTCCTTCCAGTTTCTCAGTCACTGCATTGTCTAATTTTCCTCTTACAAAAGCTGAAATATGCTTTGGAATACTAACCTGGCACTGATGCACATCCACTTCCAAAAATGTTGCCTGAGGGTACTTGTTACTCAGAGCATTGAAAGCTGGAGCTATCCTTAAACAAGGACCACATCTGTGAAAACAAAATAAAATTCAACCTATTTTTAAAAAAAAAACTCTTGCCTCAAACTGAATCAGTACGTTCATTTTCTTACTTTGGTACATGTTGGGTGAAAACAGCCAATAATCTGAATTGCACAATGCTAATTGCTACATAATACCACGTCATCATTACTGTGTTGTTATACGAATTACAGAAAGCTATGGCTGAGCTTTACTGCAGTACATATACAACAACCACAACTGCCTGTGGATCCAACCCAGCCCCAATGACAGGCCCTGCAGCTGAAACAGAATCAACCAGCACCATTATCAGTTACCCCTATAAGCAAAGGTAAAAAATGCCTACTAAAGTGAGGTTATTTAGTAAATAAATCCTAAATCACATGGCAGAAAATGAAACTGAGCCACTGAGCTAGTCCAACAGCTCAAACAGTGAGAGCAGGGAGAGGAAGAACTTAGAAGAGACAGAGACTGTCTAAACCCTGATGTTGGGTGAGCTTCTAAACATATAAGAAGATTGTAACCATTGTCCAGGTAAGCACATTGTTATGTGGCTGCTCCGGAGCTGAAACTTTGGGGTCAGGGGCCTGAACTTAGTGGGCAGTGAAGCCAAGCAGCTGCAGCTGTGATCCCTTTCTAGGGAAGGAAGCATTGGCAAAGCAGTTGGAAAAGAGGCCTTGCCCCTATGGCAGTGATGTCATGATGGGAAGATATCCCTGCAAGGATGAGTCGGTAAGTTAGCCAGGCAAATGGGCCACCATGAAGAGAGATAAGCAGTACCTGAGGGAATCTGCTGAGCTGGCATTAACATATACCATTAAAATGAGCAATACCAATTCCTAAGATCCACACAACATCGCTTTTTTGCCTCAACAACAATATTACAATAAGAATCACCCAGACTAAAGGAATGAGTGGCTGTGTGGTGCTTGGCTAACAGGCTAAACCACAGCAGAACCATGCGTAAACTCTCTGAAACTGAATGCAACAAATCCAGTGCCACCTGTGGAGGACAGCGACATTAAAGTCCCTGCACAGGACGTGACATAGAGATGACATACTAAACCCTTTGCAGGGATCACCGGAGCTACTATTCACTGTGACAATATCGAGTCACAACGGCCGACTTCGCTGCGGGCATGAAGATGCAGCCACCTCAACACAGGGAGATCTTGACAACTTGTGCAAACGGCAGCGCAGCACCAACCCATGAAGAACCGCAGGCTATTCCTGCAGCAGCGCACAGACATCTCTCAAATCTCTAGCAAAGGGCTCCGGCCCGCTGACGGACACTCAGCCTCCCCTTCCCACCCTCACCCCGAGGAAGATCGGCCCTGCCGCCAGCGCCCAGCACGGCCCCACACCGACGGCGCTCCGCCGGCCGGGCCCGCGCCTCACGGCGCCACTCACCCCCGCATGGTGAACTTCACCACGGCTAGGCGAGAGCCGGCCGCGCTCAGCTCAGGCTGGAACTCAGTGTCGTTAGCGATCAGCTTCACGCCCACCATCCTCGCCGGACGGGGGGAGGCAGAAGGTGCCACAGCGGCGGCGCCGGCCTCTATCTGCAGCGTCACGGCGGGAAGGCGCGGCCGGCGTGCACCGCGCGGCGCGTCGCGTCGCGCAAAACGCATGCGCGCTCTGCCACGCTTCTCCCTGCAGCACTTCCTGCCGCGCAGCGCAGCGCCTCTCAATTCGAGAGTAGGAGGGAAGCGAGAACGGCCATTTTGAAAAATGGCACGACGGAAACCAGGCGGCCATCTTTGTAAGGGGCACGCCGGAAGCGATGCCACCATCTTTGTAAGGGGTACGACGGAAGCGAGGCGGCCATCCTTGTAAGGGGCACGTGTGAAGGGAGGCGGCCATCTTTGTAAGGGGCACGCCTGAGGTGAAGCCCGGTCCCCCGCGGCCCCGAGGAGGACGAGGCGGCCGCGGCCTTTGCCGTACAGCTTAGCACCCGCAGGAGGCCGGCGGCGTTGATATGATATAACACGATTCAGGTACGTTTGCCGTCCCGGTCTTTGTCGCCTCTGATCCCGCCGCTGGGTCCCGTAGAGGTGCCCGCAGTTCTGCTCTCCTGTCAGGAGAGGTCCGTCCCGTCGATGCGCACACTGATGAGGCAGAACCGCCTTTCACAGAGGATTCAGGCCGAACGCGGCGCCTTCCGTGCCTGCCGCAGCCCTCCGTCTGCGCCGCGCTGTCACGCTCCGCCGCTCGTCTCTATGGCGACGCCGCTGCCTTTGCGTGCCGTCAGTCGCGGCGGCCGGGGGGCGGCTTTACGACACTGGGCGCCGCGGCGGCCGGCCTCATCAGCTGCTCGAGGGAGCGCGGCGCCCGGGGGCTCCTCTGCAGAGCCGCGGCGGGGACAGGTGAGCGCTCGCGAGTCGGCGGCCTCCTCCCAGCCGCGGCGCGCCGTCCATCAGCCCCCCGGTGCGCCATGTTGTACGGGGGTGGCGGCGAGCCCCACCGGCCCCCGAGGATCGTTCTCGCGGTGCGGGCGGAGCGCCACGGCGCGGAGTGGCGGTGTGTGAGGGAGGGCGGGGGGCGGTGTGTGTGGGGGCGGTGTGTATGTGGGGGGGGGGGAGAGGCGGCTGCACCCTCGGTGCCGCATATTCACGGCGCTTCGTGGCATCCCGAGGCTGTTTCCCTTTTTTTGTGCCGGCCCCGATGCCACTGGTAAATAGGGGTACGGGTTGGAGTTCGCTTTGCAGCTCATGGGGTGACAGTGCTGAACGCGGTTGTGACAGCTGGGATCTGGAAAAACCTGTGTGGGTTCCCCGTGTCGCCCAGCGAGGTGCCAGGGCAGCCTGCTTCTGAGGCGTCTGCTAGCTCTGCTGCAGGATCTGGATGGAGCCAGAGAGCCATTACAGCTGAAACAGCTTTCTGACACCATCACAGAATCACCACGGTTGGAAAAGACCTACAAGACCATCCAGTCACAGATGCATAATGCTAATCACAGAATCATAGGGGATGGAAGGGACCTCCGAGAGATTCTGGAGTCCAGCCCCCCTGCCAAAGCAGGTTCCCTACACCAGGTTGCACAAATAGGTGTCCAGGTGGGTCTTGAACATCTCCAGAGAAGGAGACTCCACGACCTCCCTGGGCAGCCTGTTCCAGTGCTCTGTCACCTCACTGTAAAGAAGTTCTTTCACCCATTTGTGTGGAATTTCTGGCCGTTTCCTGTTGTCCTGTCTCCACATACTGCTGAAAACAGTCTGGGCTCGCCGTTCTATCCCCCTCACCTTAGATATTTATAGACCTGGATCAGGTCCCCTCTCTGCCTTCTTTTCTCAAGGTTAAACAGACCCAGTTCACTTAGCCTTTCTTCACAGGGGAGATGCTCCAGTCCAACCATCCACCTATCACCAATAGTACTGACTGAGCCATATCCCTCAACACAAAATCCAAACGTTCCTTGAACACCTCCAGGGTCGATGGCTCCAGCACCTCCCTGGGCAGCCCATCCCACTGCTGGACCACTCTTTCAGAGAAGCAGTATTTCCTAACGTCTGGCCTGAATCTCCCATGGCACAGCTTAAAGCCACTCCCTCTGGTCCTATCACCAGTTACACGAGAGAAGAGGCTGACCCCCAGCTCACTACAACCTCCCTTCAGATAGTTATAGAGAGCAATAACGTCTCCCTTGATCCTCCTCTACACCAGCAGCATTCAGCAGTGCATCCCAGCTGACCATGTCCACTTCCTTTATCTGGTTTTGCATTCATCTGTATACCCATGAGGTGGATTTCTGTGGGATAGCCCACATTACCTTCCTGCTGTTAAGTGCTTTTGGGTTGATATTCTGCAATCCTGTGCTTGGCTGCGGAAAGCAGTAACTTGTTACTGGAATGCCACAGTTATTGGCACATTGTGAAGATTAGGAAGGAGTTTGTGTCTGAACTAATTGGATTTTTAATGTCTGTTTTGGAAGGCATGTTTTTGTACTGTTGCATTTGTTTTTGATTTTGATTGTGTTGGGAAGGTTTTGGACCATGTTCACAATACTTTTCTTTGTGTTACAGTAACACATCGTGGCCAAATCAAGTGCTGTGTAAAATATCCAAGGAGAGCTTTGTCACAGGGCTTGAAATACAGCTGTGCTGTGTGATGCCCAGTGCAGGTGAATGAGTGAGAAGAAATAGAGAATGCATGAGGGATAGAGGTTCTGCCTGCACACGGCTGTGGGAGAGCTCAGCAGATTACAGGGTGGATGAAGGAAGTCCAGGTGCCTGTACCTTTTTAATCCTTGATCAACGTAATAGTCTTGGAGCAAGCAGAGGTTAGTTCCCTCCTGCAGATATGCTTAATTCTGATGTAATGAGTGGGTTTATTGAGGTCAGTGTGAATATTCAGGGCAGTAAAATGAAGTGTGCTGTGTTTACTTTGAGCAGTCCTTGCACCTCTTGGCTGTGTTAGGATGCATTGGTTCTCCTTGATAGCTACTTGCTTTTGTTTTTGTCTTGAAATTGGTATGGTTAATTACCAAGACAAATGCACCTGGCATTTCAGCTCACCGTCTTCTGGCCTGTTTTGCATGCATGTTTGTCCACGTGCATGGTGATGGCAGATTTGCCTGGCTTTTTGCTAGGCTGGTTGCCTGACATTGCTGTCACCACAATGAATTTGTTTCATGCAGCATTGATTGCGTTCTTCACCTGTTTACTCATAACTCTCTCTTAGCGAAAAATGGCAATTCTGCTTTCTTAATAAAGACTTTTAGCACAGTGTTGCAATAATATTTTTTTCATTTGCAAAGCAGAAAGTTGAGCTTGGATAAAGTTTAAAGGTGCCCACCTGCAGTGGGCATCATACAGCACAGCTGTATTTCAACCCTGTGAGAAAGAGCAAAGTTATTGCTCTCTAAGTTTTGTATTCAGTGCTCATCTGATGCGACCCGAAATGAAAATGTTAGATGTGTTGGAGTTTAAGAACTGAGCACGTAGATCCTTTTCCAGTGTTTTGTATCATGCAAATGTGGCCCAAAATGTCGTTTAGTAGAAAAAAACCTACAAAAATAGCCATTCAAACCTCCAGCAGACAAACATGGATTTATTTGCTGAAGAAGTATTAGCTTTTTGGAAGTGTTCTCTGACTTTCCAGATAGCATGGATTTACAGAGAGGAGATTTCACCCATCAGTCTCGGCGTGGGAGGCAGAGGAGCAGAATTTGGCACAGCTCCCATAGCATCCTCATGGACAAGCTGCTGATACATGCTTAGGATGAGCGCATTGTAAACTGGTGGAGCATACAGCCTCAGAGGGTTGTGATGGACAGCTTGATGTTCTGCTGCAGGACAGTCATAGTGTTGCACCCCGAGGGCTGGTACTGAATCCTCTGGTGTTTAATATCATCAGAGGTGGCACAGGCGATGGACAGGGCAAGTCTACAGGTGGTACAGAATGAGGAGGGAGGCTCACAGAGGTGTGCTGCCTCAGCCTGGAGAGATGAGCCAAGAGGAGCCTTGTGAATTCAGCAGAGGGAAGTGCCAGGAAGTTTCTTCCTGACAGCAGTTAAGCATTTGGGTAGGTTGTGTATATGCAGGAGTGGACGTGATCCTGGGCAGCTGTATCTGGCCCAGATCTTGTTCAGCTTCATTGTGATCTGCTGCAGTGCCTTCCTTCCACCCCATCCGCTCTATGGTTCTGTTGGATTTGCAACAGGCTTGGAAGGCAGAAATACTTGGCATTTGATCCCTTTATGATGAGTTGAAATTCGGCATTTCGGAAGCCTCTAACAATTCCTGACGGGCATTCAGAAACAAGCAGAATGTTATTAACAGAGCAAACACTGCTGACCATTTGTGTTTAGTAACAGATTTGCTTATTCACCATCTACACAAAGAAAGGTGTGAATATCTAAATGTGTGTGTTCTGACAGTTGAACATTTGTGCAATTCTGGATACAGTATTTTGTTTTCTTCTCCCTGCTGTGTCAATCCTCTGCTTTCCCAGCTGCATGTATTAAATGGAAAAGGCCATTAGTAAAAAAATTGTAATCACCATTGGGTAATTCAAATGGAAGCCATGATGTAGAAGAAAGGAGCCTCTGCCATGGATACATGAGTGCATACGGGTTGCTTTAGGAGGGGTATTGCAGTGCTTAACTCATGACTTTAGGAGAGAAAGATTCTGTATGTGCAAAAAATGTTAGGCGTAAAAATTACTGTTTGTGTGAAAATATGAAATCCTTTTAGAAGGCTTCTCCTGATGTCATGGATGGCAGCCCTCTCTGTGCTTGGTGACAATCTGAGGAATAAGGTAATTTAAATTCTACTGAAAATGCAGAAAAAAATGCATTAATATGTGGTAAACATTGATAGGGAAGGGAATGGTTTATTGTTAATATTTCTGAACTGCTTTGTTTGAGCATAAGTTACATTTAGAAGCAGATGTTCATTTGGCAGACTTCAGTGGTTCATTTTGGAGCTGTTACAGACCGGGAGTGTACATGATAAAGAAATAGTCATTTCATAGATGTTTTTTTGACAGATTCTTTTAGCACCCGCATGTATCCTCAGATGCGCTGGGGACAGAACTGGTACCAGCTGGATGGCTGGGGAGCTGGTTTTATTGTCCCAACACAAGGCAGAGGTGAAAGCTCCTCACCAGCTGCTGGGCTTCCTACCAGGAGTCAGTTCGCTTTGGGTGCGTTTTTTGGTCCCACAAACTGTTATCAGAGAGCTGTCTCAGGGTCTTGATTTTGAGGAGGTTCAATGATATCTCTAGGCTGCGTCTCATGGCTGAAAGGTGTGGGAAAGCTTGAGGCACCTGCAAGTAAAGTGATCTTGCAGGAAGAGTTTGCGTACAAGCGGAGGAAGGTTTGTGGCTCCATCTTTGATTTCTTGCAGCAACCATTATCATAAAGCTCTCTGATCATACATCTGACCTTCATCTTCACTCCTATGCTCCTTGTAGGTCATGTCCCTGATTTTCTTGAGCAGTGCACTACTGTTAACTGCTAAAATCTTCTCTGCAACTGCTTTGCCTCTTCTTAAACAGGCTTTCATCTGAAGGCAGCATTTTATTTTCTGCTTGCCGTTTTGTTCCCTAAGTTAGCTGTGAACACTTTACCAGTGCTATACATGTGAAAGAAGTACTCGATGGTGTTGATGGTGTTGTGGTTTGGTGAAGGTGTTAAATGAATCTGCGATTCAGCATTTAAGCAATAAGTTGTACTTGAGAAAGCAGTTCAATAGCCTTGCTCAAGTAGGGTTTTTTTTTCCCAGATTATGGAATTTGCCTGAATACCAGCCTTCATAGTGCTGCGGAGAGTCACTGACTATTCCACCAAGTTAGTACGTTATTTTATTTTTTTTCATTACTCATGCAAGGGCACGTTAATATTGATATTCTTTCAAGTCCTATTATTAAATAAATACAGATTATTTATCTTCTGGGGTTTCTTTGGAGGGAGGGAGAGGGCAGGATGGGATGGGGGCTTTTATCTGGAAATCTAAAGTGTCATTTTCGCTTTACAAAGAACGCAGTTGAAGACGCTGAAGAAGAGGTTTGAGAGTCCAGAGACATGAGATGAAGTAACTTCCAAAGTCAGTATATGAGAGAGTGTTCTTGGATCCACATTACAGCTCCCATTGCAGGAAAAAGCAAATGAAAAATTTCAGATCTGGGGAATATTAGAGAAAATTGAGAGCCTCCCTTTGGTCAGGTCTTTTCAGTAAGGTCTTTTCCAGCCGTTCTGCGTCTGGGCATTCATTGTGACTTTGAGAGGGGTGGTTCGGAAGTGAAGTGCAGTAGCACCCTACAGATGGCTTTCTGTACTCACGTGGTAACGCAAGGTCGTTCTTTCTTTCTGTGTGGAGGAGGTCACCAAGGCGCCTGTGGAAGTGGTATGGAAAGCCTCAGCCACCTCTGTGATGACAGGACTTCTAAGGAGGAAGAGCTCAGTTTGATGTCTGCAGTTCATTGTCCAGTTAAAATTTCCAGTCCCTATTTCTGCAAAAATTCTAGAGGGGTACAGATAAATAGAACACAGGGTTTCCTCTGCAGTGGTTCACCGCGTGCTTTTTGACCATTTGTCAATAGGTACTGTGTTTATTTGTTACTGGAGTTGTCATCATTGATGTAAAAAAAAAATTCTATATTGATTGTTTCCAGACATTAAGTGACTTTTGGTTTTTACTGGGAATGTATTTGATGCTCGGTGGCAGTAGAGAACTGTTCTTTGCAGTCTGAATTCCGCGCCAGTTGAGATGAGTTTGTGGTACTTCCTGAAAATGAAGTTTTTAATGAAGGCTTTGCGATGCCATACTAAAAAACTGGAAGGCAAGAGGTAGCTTTTCTTTCTGCTCTCTCTCTCCCCCAGGGGTTGGTATGAGAAGTTCTAAGAACTGTCTCTCTTTTATATAAAAGTTTTGGAATGTGAATATTTGTAAGCCTTTACATAGGATTTCTCTGTTCACGTTTGCAGTGCTTCCTCACTTTGGTCTGCATGGAAGGTACAAGATATATTAGATTACTTATATGTGCTAATACTTGTGACTGCTGTAATATCCTCGTGAAAATTCAGTATTTTAAGTATATTTATAACGTTGGTTTGTGTTTGTTTGTTTGTTTTAATAGCAATAGGTAAAGCATCAGGCTTACTGCAGAATTTGGTGAAACAACTGCGTACCCTGGTAGGCGAGCTCCTTTATTATCCCAGCATGCAGTTGTTCTCGTCGCTGAGACGATCACAGAGATGACTTATGGAAATGTTCTGATGCATTCCCTGATCTATGAGCAATAGGAAATGAAAAGCATGGGAAGAGACTTCATGTTGCTTATCAACATTTTTATTCCCAGAATTTTTCAGCTCTAAAATTATTGATGGATTGTCTTGTTATCAACTGAAAGTTATTTTGTAGGTTAAACTGGAGGTCAAATGTTTATATATATATAAAAAATAGTAACACAGAAAGAAAAAAACAAACCCCAAACACCAACCAAAGCAAAAAAGCACCTAGGTATAGTGTGTGCCAACAAGCTGCATCAGGGATACTGCAGTGCAGTGTGGCTCCCAGCCATGAAGGGCGGCTGTACAGGCAGGATGCTGTGGGACTGACTTTGGCAATTCCGTATTTCCAGCCCACAGCTACTGAGCCCCAGTAGTTGGCTGAAGTAAAATTGGTGCAGAATATTGTGCCTTCATTGTGTTTTAAATACTTCATCTTAACAGAAATTTCTCAGCTCGCCTTTCCCAGTGTGTCGTCTGTTTTATTTCATTACAAAATGTGGTAAATAGTTGACTTTGTATTTCTGTGATGCATCTTTGTACTGCGTCTGGACAATCTTCATTTTAGGATCTCATTCAATTCTTTTTATCATCTTTATATCTGTAAATCGAGTACCTTTAGGCCAGAGGTTTTGTAATTCCTCAGCTGACGGGTACACTGCCTTTATTAAGGTTGCTGCATCCTTTATGCCTTCTGAAAAATATTTTGCAGTTCTGTGTTCTGATCATCCAGACACGGAACAATTGATCCAGCATTGTGTAACAGCACTGCATTTACAGCCATGTGTTACAAACACTCGTCTCAGGGTGGTGTGTCAGAACAGAGTGCGTGCTTGGTTGTTGGTCTGTATTTGTATTCATTTACTAAGCAATATTGCTCAATTTTTAATAACTGTGGTCCCATTGGGTGCAAAAAAAGATTTGGGCATAAAATGACACTTTGTAGTGACTGCTGTTACTGTTCTCATCCTTTGAATTTACTGAAAAACCATTCTGCATCCCAGACTTCTCAGAAGCATGAGGCTTAGTGCATCCGGCTTGCCTGTGTCCTCTGTTCCAAGACTCAGGCCAGTTTTCAGTTGTCACTGCAGTCTGTAACACCAAGCTGTGTTATTCAGCTGTTTGCTGCTTCCCTTCCCCCCTTTTTCTGTATTTATTAACATGTTCCATTGCTGCTGCCACAGGGACTGTTTGCACTAGAAATGGAGTCAGTGTTTGTCCAAATTACTCTAAAACTATGTGCTTGAAGAGATTTCAGTGTAATGTTTATACAGATGAGAGATAGCATTAATTTGTTTTGAGCTCCCTGTAGCATGGCAGAAAAAAGCTTTTGAAATAGAAGGTAAAAAAGTGCTGTCTGCATTAAAAAGAAGGATAGGGGTTGCTGTCGAGGATGAGCACATTTGAGGATATTTCTTCTGCTGCTGCTTATTTTTCCATTGTAATCAATCAGAATTGCTTTCTCCGTATTCTAAATGACTGTAGAAAGATTTGTTTGTCTGCGAGCACACACCTGTACTACAAGATCATGCTAGTGGGATGAGTGCATATATATTAATATAAAGGCAGGAAAGTGTGCTGAGGTATTCCTTCAGTGAATTCTTCTACCGTATTTATACTTCTCTACATGGGAAATTCTGCTGGGAAATAGTGGGAATAGCTGGGAAATGGGATATACTGATTTGAACTATGCAAAGTTCTGAACAGAAACCTCTGTTAGGAAACACTAGGAGCATTTCCTCCATTCGTTTAGCACACTGATTTTCCCATTCATTTCTCAGTAACTTTCTGTAGCTCAAAGTTCTTCTGCAGGGTAGTTGAGCAACTGCTACAGCACTATGTGAATTCTCAGTAAGAGATGAAGAAAACTTTGGTCGTATCTGATGTAAGTGTTCTGCTTGCTGGCTATGTGCTCTGTTTTTCCATTTATTCTTAACAAGTACTGCTAAGTGGAAGAGTTCTTGTGTCTGAACATTGAAGTGTTTGGTAAACTCAGGGTATTGCTAACAAAAACAGGCTTGGTTTGGTGTTCAAATCTCCTGCTGATCTCAGAACTGGTTTTTTATTGGCCTTGCTGTTGCTCAGATCCCCGGGTTGTGTGCTGCAGCTTTCCCCAGCTCACATTTCCCCTTCCTGCTCCCTATTCGTGGCTGGACTGCAGCTCTGGGCATCTGTGGGGACAGCTGACGTGGCTGGCAATGAATGGGATGGGTCCAGAAAAGAATTAAAAATGCAATTTTTATTTTGTAACAGCTGCAGCAAGGGACAACAGAAATAGATCAGTTCCTCCTCTTTCAGTCTCAGACTTTCAATCAGTTCTTGTTTAGGATCCAGCTTCAGAGGGCTGGCAGTGGTGGAGGATTGAGAAGTGCTTTGCCCTTGCTGTATTTCCTTTTTCTAGCTTTTGTTAGTTCTAAACGTTGATAGTTCTAGCAGTGACTCTTGTCTCACAACTGAGTCACTTGTTGCACGTTCCAGTTCCTTTTCCCTCACTGCCTGCCCCTCTTAAGAAGCTTTTCTCACAGATTTCCCTCCGAGGAAGGCTGTAGAAGTACACCTTCAGCCACCAGTGCTGCAGATGAGGGCTTAGACACCAGAGACTGAAAGGTTCAGAGTTGTGTAAATATGTTATTTGGTGCATCTGTGAGGATGAAAATCTTCCTCACTGAGAGATGATTGTATACTGTGTTTTAATTGAGGAGCGGCATGTTGTAGTGACTGTTTCTTTAGGATAAAGTGTTCATAAAGTCACTTCAGACTCATCTTTTACTGCCTCGTGAGATAGGAGGGTGTCAGCTGAAGAGCAGGCATATCCATCGAGACCTAATTAATTAGTATTGCTGAAATTGACAGGTGTGAAAGCAGGATGGCTGGGAACAGCCTCGTGTTGCCCATTGTCCTGTGGGGCCAGAGGGCTCCCACCCACTGCATATCAACCCTGCTGCTCATGGATGACGCGTCGATGATCGTCACTGGCTGCCACGATGGCCAGATATGTCTCTGGGACATTGCTCCAGATTTAGAGGTAAGATGCTTGAGTGCAGATGGTGCCTAAGGTGTTTATCCTCGTTACCAGAGTGATTTTACTGTTCAGTATGGCGGCATCCCCTCTGGTCATTTTGTACTCGTTCATCTGTCCTTTCTTCATCACTTCACATGATGGGACTTGGATGTCACGCCATCCACTTCCGGTAGAAAATATTTCGCAATAGAAAGAGAAGAGTTTGCTCTTGAATTCTGTTACTGCTCCTTCAGTAATTTATCTTAAATAATTATTTCCTCTTTTTCTGAAGCTCTTCTAAGCTGTTTTCAATGCAGCTGCTTTGTAAAAACCAGAGATTGGAGGACTGTGTCTAGAGAGTTTTTTAAGGTTATTACTTGATTAATCTGCTGATTTCCATGAAAACTGAAAGAGAAAAGAAATCTAGTAGCAAAGATGAAGATTGATTAATTATTTTAAGGAAATCTAGTAGCAAAGATGAAGATTGATTAATTATTTTAAATATAGATTTTTACATTACACATTACTGTACTGAATACCTAAAATTCTCAATATCCGAGTTATTCCCGTAAATTGTTTGTTTAGTATGTTTAAAAAATAAAGAAGGAGGGGCCAGTAGAAAATGACTATTACCTTCTAGAAAGGACAAATAAAAGTCACTTTTTCTTTTTTTTTAATCAATGAATGCAATGTATGTAGTTTATAAATAGATGTGTAGGGCTGTGAAATGTACTCGACTGGGGGAAACTTGCTGCAATATAACAGTTGTTTTGAGTTGGGTCAAATTCAATCTATCATTTAAAATCACTGTTAACAAGAGTATTATGCAAAGTAAATTTTTACACAGATTTGTATTATGTTATTGGGTAGAAATGTTTTTTTTTTTTTCATGCAACATAGCACATCCTGTGCAAATGCCTTCAAGGTTATATGTCCACAAGTGTGCTAATAAAATGTGCATGTATACGTATAGCCACATATTTATATAATGTATAAAACAGAAATCTGGAATATGCATATTCTAGTTAAGTAACGCTGTTATTTTTCTCTCACATTTTGTTTCCCTGATTCTAGATTAATCCCAGAGCTCTGCTGTTTGGTCACACAGCCTCAATCACTTGTTTATCAAAGGCCTCTGCTTCCAGTGAGAAGCAGTACATAGTGAGTGCGTCAGAGAGTGGGTGAGTTCTCTGAGCATTTATTAATATGCAGATCTGTTAAATAATGGAAGTTTCAAGTAGAGTAGAGATCAGGTTGCTTGCACCTATGTCTTCTCATTCCACAGTGCTTTTTACTTAGTCCACTATCTGTAGATATTCCAAACGATGGGACTTCTCCACTGCAGGTACTGAGTGTGGTCATAATTTGGGGTACACAGCGTGACTGAGTGCTAAGGGGTGGGAAGAGAAGCTGAGCATAACGATGGCTTCGGAGATAAGGGGAGCCCTGCTGAGACAGCACCCTGCTTTCCCTCATCGCTGCTCAAGGCCAGATAGCTACTTATCAGAGCTGGCCATGAGCCTGGGCAGCTGAACCCCATGTGGAGAGGGTGCAGTCACTGTGCCCTTGTATTCACTTTCCTACCCTGGCCAGCTGTGGGACAGCACATCTTAGATGTCAGCAAGAGGACCATAGTTCGTTACTCTGACTAAGTGACTCTGGGAGGGCAGAGGTTTCAGGTAGTTGAAGAAACTGCTCTTGTCAGCAGGAATCTGGAATAGCTTTCTAAGAAGAGAGATGAACATTTCAGTCAGAACAAATAGCCTTGGTTTGCTGACTTGCATTGAGTAAGATGGGGCTATGTTTCACCTCTGTTTCTTACTTTCTGCCTGCATAAGTGCAGTTGGAGAAGTATAGGTTAGTTACCTATGCAAAAAATGAAATCATTTCTTTTTATCCAGGGAATACGTTTAAACAATCTTTTAATCTGAACACTGTGAACGTAGCTTGTCAGAACTTAGAATTTCCACCTTGTAGTGATTTCAGTACTAAGTAGTTTTTTTGGGGGGGGGTTTAGGGCAAGAACAAAAAAGATTTCTTTGTGAAATGATACATCTGATACAAAGGGGAAAAGTCACTGACAGATTTTGTTCTGAATAAATTTAGGCATAAAATTTCAAAAGTCAAAATATAGGGGGAAAAATCTGTACATAGGGGTAAATGCTTTTTTTTAACTCTCTGAAGTCTGAATTAATTCCTAGAGGTAACTGTAATATTTTCTTATCAGGTAGGCCAGAAAAATACTCTCTGATACTCCTTTTTGTTAGTTGTTCTTTGATTTCAAGTTGGTCTTAGAATTGCTGGAGAGTTCCAGGTGATGCTTCCACCTGTCATCAGCTTGGAATCTCTGAAAACTTTCAGAGTTCACTGCTGTGTGATAAAGTTCTGGTTTTCTGTAATTATTTTTCTTCCTCACGAATGTGGAAAAGGCAAGCTAATCTTCAGATATCTGATGGGGTGCCATCAATGTACACAAATGACTTGAAATAACTGTGAGAGAAATTGGAAATCCTCACTTACATACTTGCATGTACTTAATATTGATGTTTTATGATGTAGTGTGGTATTTTATTCATTTCCTTTTGTCTTTGTAGAGAAGAACAGTCTGCACAGATTTGGGTAGCACTGGATGCTCAAGTAGATTTTGTGGTTTCTTTGTCTAAATGCAATTCATACAGTCAATAATAAGCATTTAATTTATTCCAATGTAAATTCTTAAATCCTTGGAAGACTGAAATACTTTGGATGTAGTTGTAATCTGTCTTTTGTATTTTAGGGAGATGTGTCTGTGGGATGTGAATGATGGCAGATGCATAGAGTTTACTAAGCTAGCCTGCACACACACTGGCATACAGGTTGGTATTTGTGTATGATTTGGTAATCCTATTCTGCATTGTATAGCATGGATAACTACAGCCGAGTTATTGAAACGGGAATGAGAACATTCACTCTATCAATAAGTACCCTGCGTTTGAAATAGGAAACAGCAGGTGGGAGCCTCTGCAAAAAGCTCCTTCATCGCTACACAGCAATTTTGGACTATGCAGCCACTAGGATGTATTTATGTAATAGTGATCTTGGTTAAAAATGAAATAGTGTCTTGCATGGAGTGTAACTTCTGTATTGTGTTAATGTCCACTTAGTTCTACCAGTTTATGGTTGGGACTCAGCGTGAAGGGAGACTGTTATGCCATGGACATTATCCAGAAATTCTTGTTGTGGATGCTACCAGCCTTGAAGTTCTTTATTCTCTGTTATCAAAGATATCTCCTGATTGGATCAGCTCCATGACTATCATTAAATCCAACAGAACACAAGGTAAAGTTTTTTGTTGCTTTTATTGTGGCTTTGGCTCTCTGCAAGGGAATACATTTGCTTCAGCTTTTCCAAGAGGCTGGGGAGGAGTCCAGAATGTTGCTTCTTGCTTTTTTCTGCCACGTGGGGGATGAAGGTGATCTTGGGCAGTACCAAGCCCTAACTTTCTGTAAAAGTAACAGATGAGTAGTTATTTCTATCTCTGAAAATACAGGAGGAGAAGACTTGATAACGTTGTGGGTATTCTTTCTGTTGCTGTTACATCAGATGAGAGTTTAAGCTCTGGCCAGATTTAAACGCTTTTTCATGAGCTGAGCATAAAATACAGCTAAATCAACTCAACAAATTGCTCACCTGGTAAATTGGTAAATTGATTCACATTCCTTAGGAGTTCCTGTGAAAGATGGGAAAAGTCTTAATTTTTTAATTTTTTTTTTTTTTAAATAAAAGCATGTTCTGCTAGAGTGAAGAGTGGTAACCTGTTTTCACTGAGAGTTGTGAGAGTTTACGAGAGCACTGTGATAGTAAGGGCCTGAAAACTGGCATGAGACTGGAGGAAGAGGTGCAAGCACTCCAAATGCTAAGGCTGTCATCTGCATAACCAATGTGATGTGTGGTGTACATTGAGATCATTTGGCACATAAGAAATTGTGATTTTTTACAAGATATGTACATGCCATGAGTATTTCTTTTGATCAGTAGCTTTATAAAAAAGCACTGGCATAACATTTGCAAAGCTATTATTGCAAAAAATATATTTAAAATCCTGGTGTGGGCAAGCTAAATCGCTGTCCCCACAACATCAAAGTGACTGGAATAACTGGAAGTGAATTCTGATTTTAACTGTTGTCTGGACTGATTTTACTTCTTGTTTTGTAATCATTTTTATATTTTGTAATCAAGGCCTTGCCCCTTGGCTTGATGGAATTTTGCTCTACGCTTGACTTGCTTGGTAGAAACAGGAATTTCTAGAAGATTTGGCACTGGATGTGAATTTGGAGTGTGTGGTTTTCTGCCCTTCTCCTCATCACCCTCTTTGTATTTTGAGCCCTAGATAATCATTAAGAGTGCTTGCTTCTCTGTCATGAGACTTGCAGTGATTCAGTGCTTTCACGTTTGTGTGCATGTGCTTCTAGCATGCTGTTTTGCAAAGTAATTTCTTGATTCTGAAGCAAACGTTTCAAGATGGTTTTGATAAATTCCAGTGTTGAAGTATTGTCAGATGTGTTTGTACTCAGATATACACAGTGTGTAACACAACGAAGACCTTCTTGTACTTACCAGCTTATTTTTTGTTTTTTTCTCCAGAGGACACTGTTGTAGCAGTTTCAGTGACTGGCATCCTCAAAGTATGGATAATAACATCTGAAGTTAATCGCATGCAGGTAAGCAAAGGCTTTTGTATTACTGGTATGCCCCAGAAGTCTCACAGGACACTTACTGTTGGCTGTTGATAACCAGAATTTTTTTCTGGGACTCTGTTCTGATGAAGATGTGAGATGTGAAGGTGTCTGAAAGACTTACTGACCAGAGAGCATAATACTTCCCAGTATTCATTATTAGTTATCCACAGCTCAGTCTTACTGGTAATTTCTGCTTTCCTATGTACCGATCAGTAAAACTCTTAAAGGAGATTTAACAAGCTTTTCTTGCGAATGATCTATTAAGAGAAACAAATCGAAGACATAGATTATTATACTTGTTTAGCAACTATGAACAAAATAACATTATAAATAACACGTAAACAAAACTAGTTCCATTTTTATGTTTCAGGAGTGTTTATATCAGAAAAGCAACCAAGTCTGAGTTAAGTTGGAAGACCAGTGTAATGGAATTACTCGCTTATAGTCCTGTCAGAGGATGACAAAGACATTATTAGTATTTTTTGTTTTAAAATTTTGAGATTGATGAAGCCATTTGCTATCGAGGCACTTCTGAAAACACCTGTCATGCAACTGATCACGGTTTAGCTAATATCACATTTAACAGTTATATTAAGAAATTAAAAGAGTAAGCAGTGAAGAGTATATGAGTAAAAAACGCAAAGACTTAAGTAACAGGTGTTGACCACAACATAGGCCATTTGGAATAGTGAGAACCTTGAAAGAAAGAGCTGAGCTGAATCTGCTTAGTTTCAGCTGGCTGCTGAGAAGCCAGGTAATTCATCAAGGGCGATCACACTAAGCACAGCTTATCACATTAGCACAGCTAATCTGTCCAGCTGAGGAGTTCACTAGGTTTAAGTCACAAAGGAGAATGCTGCATGCTCTTGCAGATCTAAGAAAAATAGAAGGCTTGGTTTCTCCTTAGAAGTCTGCCATCTGGCATCTAATGAAACTGCCTAGTCCCTTTTCCATCACGTTTTCTGTCATGTTCTAAGTTCATTTTTAGCTAAGAAAAAATCAGCTGGGTGTCATCTTGTTATCTGATTGCCATATGCATGTTTTCCTGTGAAAAGACTGCCAGTTTCAGGGGCTGGTTACTGTCACACTGTCAGAGTATTTCAGTGGTTTGTCCTGTAGGACAAGATGTTTTTTCCTCATTTTTGTAAGATGGGGAAATACAATTTCAGGAAGATAGTGTTATGGCAGAGAGATCTGTAGCAGAGTAAGGAACTGTAATCTGGGACTTTTGAGCACCTGTTTCTGTTTTAACTGCATGGCTGTCCTAATCGTCTCTGCCTCTGGTCTTGTTTTTTTTCTTGTTGTTTCGTTAATGGAAGCCTGCACACTTCTGGTTGATTCAGTCAAGCGTTTATAACCAGCCTGGTAAGAGTGCTCAAACATACACCAGGTGGCATGATTCTGTGGCTGGAGCTGCACAGACTCAAGAGAACAGGAGGACATGGCCAGACTTGGCAGGTGGGGAGTGGCAGCAGTGTCCCACCTTCCTGCAAGGTGTCCCATTTCTCATCACTTCCTTACTCCTGCTCCTGTGTATGTGCTACTCGCATCTGCAGGCTTGACTTTTTCATCACAGAGCTAAGATTTGAGATAGGTTTTAGCAATAGGAGTATCAAAATGAAGCCTAAGTACTTGTTTCAGTTAGGATTCACAGAAACGTTGACCAGCTCATAATTTGAGCAAGATTGAAACCATCGGTAAATGCCTTTTTTGAAGTTGTTAGGACAGTAAGTAATAGCTTGGTTTAGTTGCCTTTTATTTAAAAATGTGTGCCGTTAATGTTACTTTTTAATTGTTTTTTTTGTTGGTTTTGTTTTGTTTGTTTTGTTTTTTTAGGACACAACACCCGTATTTGAAGAGGAGTCAAAACCTATTTATTGTCAAAACTGTCAAAGCATTTCTTTCTGTGCATTTACCCAGCGGTCGTTGTTGGTGGTGTGCTCTAAATACTGGAGGGTAAGCTATCTTATTCTCACTGCAGTAGCTGATGTAATTAAATTGCCAGTAAGACACTCAGAGCAAGTTGTTCTCAGCCCTTTTAGGTTGTCTCTGTTGAAACCAAAATTCATTGCCACATGGACATTTTAATCTGTGATTAGCTGGTGATAGACTTTTCTGTTTCTTCTCAGGTTTTTGATGCTGGAGATTATTCCCTTTTATGCTCGGTCCCTAGTGAGAACGAACAGACCTGGACTGGTGGTGACTTTGTGTCAGCTGATAAAGTGATCGTGTGGACAGAAGATGGTCAAAGCTTCATATATAAATTACCAGCCAGGTACTCAACAGTGAACACTGCTTTTTTTGTTTTTAGATGAGCACGTGGGAAATTTTGAATAAACTCTGTGTATCTTTGGCTTGTATTATATTACAAGATCATGTGGAAGTTATGGGAACTGTTATTTCATGAGCAAACCTGAAAGTGTGCGTCCTGTAGATATGTCACATCAAAGCAAGGATCTGTGAATGAGGTTGTTTCAGCCAGGCTTGTCCCACTGTTTTCTAGCGTTTTGATAACTCTTTCACTTCTTTATGGTAGCTGTTGGAGAATGTGTGATGGCAAGGAGCGTGTTTTGCATTTTAACAAATCAAAATATCATTTAAATATTTCCTTAAGCAGTGATTACAGCAGTGGTCTGTAATGTATTGTTTTGACAATTGAAAAATATAACATTTTAGGGCTTGGACATTGTTTTTGCTTAAGAACCTAGCATTTCATGTAGTTAGCTAATGATTCAGCAATTAATCTTGTCACGAGGAATTTTAATCTTTTCCTTTTGTTCTTAAACTCAGCTGTCTTCCAGCCAGTGACTTGTTTCGTAGAGATGTGGGGAAAGCAGTAGAAAATTTAATTCCTCCTTTGTTGTACAGTGTATTGGACAGAGCAGATAAACAGGTAAAATATGTTTCTTTTGTATTTTCCTTTGTGGATAACACTCCTTCAGAGTGTTGAAGTATGCAAACGTCATGACATCTTTTTTCTCTTTACAATGTAGACCTTCAGGATCCTTTTTTTTTTTTTTTTTCTTTTACTAGAGGAAGTAGACATCTGCAGAGATGAGTCTGTGGTCAAATGAGTCTTCAGTTCTCATATGATAAGAGTTTGTCATTCATCAGTGCCTGATGTTCTGATTCTGAGTTGAAAAGCTTAGATTTTCCCAGTGTGAAGAAATGCCAGTTCTGGCTAAAATCCTTGTTGAACTGTGCTTTGTTTTCATATCGCATTGTGAACTGCATCTGCTATAAAACAGATGTGTGATATGCCTAATCATTTATTCTGCTACAAGTATAAGTGACTGTCTGATTTACAAATACTGTCATTGCTGAACTATTGTAGGAATCCTTTCTTTATCTTAGCTATTTAAACTGTTGACAAATTTGAGCATAAATTTTAAACAAAAATATATATTTAGGATATATATGTATTCTAGATTTTTTTCTTTCCCTTAGAACTGATTTGTTTTATAACTAATCATGGTTTCCATCTGATTCATGTTGCTATATTTGGCCTTTCCTACTAGAAAAATGATAAAGCATATAGCAGTTGGTTTTTGTTCTGCTTTCTAAAATACACAGTGGATTCTGTGGGAAAAGTAAACATTCAGATTTGTGCATAGACGGCCTGTGTCTGAAGTTTTTCAAATTTATTTTCTTTTCACCAGTTACTAATATGTCCCCCAGTCACCCGATTTTTCTATGGACAAAGGGAGTTTTTCTCTAATCTGCTGATCCAAGGAGACTCTTCAGGGAGGCTGTGCATTTGGAGTGTTCCTGATACGTTGGAACAAGACTGTGCAAAAGGTAGGTGTGACAGAGTCTTTTGCTAGATCTGTTTGTGAGCGTCTCTGTTTTTTGTGTGTTTTGTTGCTGGATAAAGCACCGTTGCTTTTCCTGCAAATGCGTGAAGCTTTTCTGTTGTTCTTCTTCCTTTAATTGCTGGCCTCTTGTTAGAGCTCTAGTAACTTGAAGTTTTTAATATATGATCAAAATCTTATGCTGGACACCTTTCAGTTATTACTTTTTAATTGCTTTCTCCCCAAATTCCAGCTATGATGTCTGGAAGTGCCATGTGCTGTCTGCCTGTGTAATAACTTCTTGTAGCTTAAATCGCATGTTTTCCCAGTCTCTCATGTATTGCTTCCTGGTGTAGCTTCCCTGGCCCTGGGGTAGCCAGTCAAAAATGTATCTTTTACTTTGAACAAAGTGTTGTGACACGCTAAAAGTTGTAACTTTGAAATCTCTTAACGAAGGCATTCCTGTTCTGGTTCTTCAATTATTTTTTTTCTTTCCGTTCCAACAGGACTGCAAGCAACAACTTCGATATCCCTCCAGGAAGCTTTTGATAAACTTACTCCTCGCCCAGCTGGAATTATAGACCAACTGAGCTTAATACCAAACATCAAGGAACCACTGAAGGTTACAGCCAGTGTGTACATTCCAGCCCACGGGCGGCTGGTTTGTGGTCGGGAAGATGGAAGCATTGTCATTGTGCCAGCAACCCAAACTGCTATAGTTCAGCTTTTGCAAGGAGAGCATATGCTTAGGAGAGGTATGCTAACCAGCTTTTAAAAGGCACAACTGCATGACAGTGTGTGCTTCTCTCTTATTACATACACTGAAATACAAAATAGTCCTGCAAAGAGAGCAGTAAAGACAGGAGTTGGATAGCTATACTCTTCATAACTCTGATGTTACGTTGTGATGAGGAAGCTAGGTAACGAATTAACTGTGGGCAGTCTAAATGTATTTTTGAAGGAGGACTCCTTCACTGGAGGAGTTCACGTGTTTCTCCTGGGTTTCTGGGGTGCCAGAGAAAAGACAGGCAGCACATTCAGCTGAGTACTGAGGTGTCTGTGAGTACACACTGAAATGAGAATTCCTCCTAGTGTGTAGTGTAGCTGGTGGACGTGATACGTTGTCCTGCTGTTGCACTTTTTGATGCCAGATAGTGTTGCTTTTGTACTTTCATAAAGTTTCCAAAAAGGTGTTTGAGTCCAGGATTTTTTTGCAAATGCTGGCAACTGGAAATGATGTGTGAATGTTTTTCAAGTGTGCAAATGTGGATGTGTATGTGTGTATGTATATATGTGAGGTTGTCAGTTATGTCATATTGTTTATACAGATGATTATTTTTAAATGTGAGTTGTTTTAAGTTGATGTGTTATTCTGCAAATGACTGTTGGTGATTCTTACACTCATAAAATACAGAAGTGCTTCTATGTTTTCTGTGTAAGATTTGCAGTTGTTGCTGGAGAGCATAATTATAGTAAGAAACTTCTACTATGTCATGCACACATTCCATAGGATACTTGACTCTGGTATTTATTTACTGACCTCCTTTTGTTAAATTGCCAACTGAAAAGGTAGTTTTCATTGGTTGGAAGGTTACAGTGACAGTGGTTTTTAACTGATCTCAGTAGAGAGGACTCATTGTTCCTGCACTATGTTCACAAAAGTTGTTTTTCTTCTAAATTTAAATTTGTCATTTGTACCTGTTCTGCTCAGGCTCTCCTGTGGCTACTGCTAAATAAGATTTTGCAGTTTTTCTGATATTGCTCTCATTTGATTACATTTCTAGAAAAATTAATGTTCAAGTGGGAAAAGCTTGGTATTTTTTTTTCTTTTTCCAGACCTTTGTGGAGTGCGGTGGTTTTGTTTGTTCTGTATTTTTGTTTCTGATGGGATTATCTTAGGAGGTCGGCTGTTTTAAGACAGCTGAAAATTGTGAGATGGTGCAGCCACAGGAGTCATCAAGACCATGTGAAGTTAAAACAAAAAACAGCGAATCTTTTAAAGCAAGGCAAGGCAAATTCTTTAAAAACATCTGGCAAAAATGTAGTATATGTATTTTTTTTTTTTAATCACAGGCAGTGCTCTGTTTTGTTTATTCTGTCAAAATTTAAAACGTTTTTTATCCCTCTTTTCCACTTTTCTCCCCCCCTGACCCTGACTTTACCCCATTTCTCAGGTTGGCCACCTCACCGGACTCTCAGAGGTCATCGAAACAAAATTACTTGCTTACTGTATCCTCATCAGGTTTCTTCTCGTTATGATCAAAGGTATTTGATCTCAGGTGGTGTGGATTTCTCAGTCATCATATGGGATATATTTTCTGGAGAGATGAAACATATCTTCTGTGTACATGGTGGAGAAATTACACAGCTTCTAGTTCCACCAGAAAACTGTAGTGTAAGTTTTAAATAATATGTTCTGATAACCTGTCATACGCTTCCCATAAATGCTGCAGCCTCTTAAATCCTTCTTGAAAACGTGAATGCAATCTGAAATACCAAAGCTCCAGGTCTGAGCTCAAGTATGACCCTTATAGGCATTTAAAAATAATGTGATCGTTCTGTTAATTTTGGTTGTGTTCACACCATGATTTAGCTATAGAAATGACTAAAAATAGAAAAAATGGATATTCAAACATGGCTAGCTAAGGAAATGATTGGCTTTATATGATTATACAGCATTAACAGTGGGAGAACATTTCTGCCACATGAAGTGAACTTATTTCTCTGATGAGGTTTGAGGCTAAGGCAAGACACGCTAAGTTAGCCCATAGATTTTGAATGAAATTTCATTTTTCATAGCTTGGTTGAGCAGAAAGAATTTAATGCATGTAATGACATTGATTTACTTCAGAATCACAGTTTCTCTTTTTTTGTTCAAGACAATTTCTCTGCTTTTTGTTTCCTTGTTTTTTCTTCCCTTGTTCTCTTTCTGAACATTCTTCTGCTTTGTTGCCCTCACTTTCATTCCTGTGTTTCTCTAACACATTTCCTGTACCTCTGCACTGCCTCTCTCTGCTGTGATGCTAATTTGCCTTGGATGTACCTTTGAAAACATTTGTGACTTGACAAGTTAATCTGAACTGAATATAGATGTAAAGTTTTGAATTTAAACTGAAATATTAATGCACACTCCAAGTCTAGGAAGAGTTGGAAGAAAATACAAATTTTCTATTCAAATTGTTTACAGAATATTTCACAGTGACTTCATCTGTGGGAGTATTCATAAATGTGTGCCAGGGACCTGAGTGTTCTGTCTCATGCATCACAGTGCCTGGCCTTTCTTTTTTTTTTTTCCTTGTTTTAGTAAGGATCACACATCACTGTTAGGTAAAATATTTCAGCCTCTAGAGTAAAAAAAAAAAAAAAAAAAAAAAAAAAAAAAAAACCCAACAAAACAAAAGCAATTATATAAATGTGATGAGATTGAGAGTTAGTATTCAGAATTTTATTTTGTCAGATGACTAGGTCTTTTTTTTTTTTTTCCAGATAAATAAACAAATTCACAGTTGCTTCCTATTCAGATTTTAAATGTCTGTAAAACACTGATAGAAAATAATTAGCCTTTTGTGGAAAATCAAAAGGTTTCTGACCATTGTAAGAGCAAACAAATATGTAAGTGCATGGCTGCACTGAACAGTTGTTGGTTCAGTGCATAACGTTTTTTCAAGGTAGAGATACTCCTCAGCTCTGCAGAGATGGCTGGTCTGACAGCCTTTTGACTTTACAATTATGAGTGGTTTGCTTCTGGAAGAGTTTGGTCCAGTGGGATGACAGCAAGTTCTGCTGTGTATTTCTGTCCCTGTGTTTTTCTTAGAAAATACGTTGTTAATCGTTGTGCTTGATTCAGCGGAGATGAGAGTATTAAAAGCAAACTGCCTCCATTAGGATTAACCTGTATCTGTTTGTTTCTTTTAAAGGCAAGAGTCCAGCACTGTATTTGCTCTGTGGCCAGTGATCACTCTGTAGGTCTTCTCAGTCTGCGTGAGAAAAAGTGCATCATGCTGGCATCCCGCCACCTCTTTCCTATTCAAGTGATCAAGTGGAGGCCTTCTGATGACTACCTGGTGGTGGGATGCTCTGATGGGTCCGTGTACGTCTGGCAAATGGATACTGGTATGGTTACAGTCAGATGTTGTTTAATCAATTTTTTTTAATAATGCTTGGTAATCTGTGTAAGTTGCATCTGAGAGAAGTGTTAATTGTTTTCACGCTTTCTGTCTTTCCCTTCCCATGTTCTCAAAGTTTGTAGATTAAATAAACCTTTGTTAAATACGTACTTCAGTGTTTAAAATGACTTACTTGGTTTTGGAGAAGCCTAACTTGCTTTGGCCTTCTTCTTCATGTTTGCTTTCCCACTTTCCAGTTTGTCAGCACATATGCTTCCTCAGTTTGCCTGAAAGTTTGGCGTAGAAGTTCAGCACCTTAAGAATCATTAGCATCTTCTTCTGTAAAGTGAAGGATAGTGCTAAATTCTGTTTATCTGGAGTTTGTTTTCCTTTGTTATTAAGGGGGCTGATCTTCCCTTTAGAAGACAGTGATTAAGACAAATGAACAGAATGGGCAACAGGGCATGAAATTGCAAGCTTGATTGTAAGAAATGTCTTTGTTGAAGGGGAGAAAGTGAGGAAAAAAAATGTCTGTGCTGTATGTAACTACCTTCTAACGCCTAAATTCACTTAAAGAAAAAAATCCCAAACCTACAATAATACCCAAATATTATTTTCATCTTATTGTGAAATAATCCTCCCAGCGCTTGAAGGGAGGATATAAACAGGAAGGGAAATGGCTGTTTAGGTGGATAGTGATAGAACCAAGGGGGAATGGTCTTAAACTGAGACAGGGCAGGCTTAGGTTGGATATGAGGAGGAAGTTTTTCACTCATAGGGTGGTGAGGCACTGGCACAGGTTGCCCAAGGAGGCTGTGGATGCCCCATCCCTGCAGGCATTCAAGGCCAGGCTGGATGTGGCTCTGGGCAGCCTGGGCTGCTGGTTGGTGACCTGCACACAGCAGGGGGTTGGAGCTGGATGAGCATTGTGCTCCTTTGCAACCCAGGCCATTCTGTGATTCTGTGAAATCGAGATGAGAATTTCAACCCTGCTTGTAGCAGAGAGTTGCAACTAATTGATCCTTAAAATCTTTTCCAACCAAAGGCACTTGGTGATTGTTTTGTTTTGTTTTGTTTTGTTGTGTTTTGTTTTGTTTGTTTCTGAAGCTTTAGGAAACAAAAAGGAATCTGATATCCATCATGGGATGTTTAAGCCATGATAGTTGGAGGATGGGAAAGGGAAATCAAAGAGCTGAGAACAAGATTCTGCTCCATGCTGGGCCCATGCAGTCTCCAGTGTGTGCAGTGCAGGATCACACTGTTTATTTTTTAACTTGTTTTGATTTTTATTAATATTTTCTTTGCACACTTCAGCCTGTTAGAAAGTTGGGGAAATCCCATTCCTTGAGGAATATTACTACTAAAAATAGCTGTTAGCACCTCTGAAATTTCTGTGCGTTGCATCCCGTTGTATTGTGATTTTGGGGGTATTCTGCATTGTTCTTGCTTAACCTGCTGTTTTTCACGATGCTTGAAGGTGCTCTGGACAGATGTGTGATGGGAATAACAGCAGTTGAAATCCTGAATGCCTGTGATGAGGCGCTGCCTGCAGCTGTGGACTCCCTGAGCCACCCCGCTGTCAACCTGAAGCAGGCCATGACACGGCGCAGCCTGGCTGCCCTGAAGAACGTGGCACACCAGAAGCTGCAGACCTTGGCCACCAACCTGCTGGCTTCTGAGGCATCTGACAAAGTAAGCTGTGTTCCTCTTGGTCTGCTTCCAGAGCAGCGTCTGACTCGGTCTTCGTTTGAAAGACTCTTATCCAAGCCACTCTGATATTTTAATAGAAAGACCTGAGGTTGATCTGCCTGGCCTTGGTAGGGTCCTGCATTCATAGGATCAGTAAGGTTTGAAAAGACCTTAAGTTAGTTTATCTGGCCTATCTTTGTAACTTGAAAACTTTTTATGATTTCTTTTTTTAAACGTGGCTCATGAAAGAAATTAAAATATTTTTCTATTTCTGTTACTGCCCTTTTGAAATGGAAAATACCATTCTTCTTGCTAAGTGTGGGTCTATGTAATTGTCATGTCAGTATGTGTTTGTTAATATCTCAATGTCTGTTAAGAACAAGTAAGATTATGAGTTCATATTCTTCTGCAAATGTTTTCTTTTTGCATATGAGAGGACATTTTAGGTATTTAAAAGAACCTCAAGACAAGCAAAAGAATATTCTGACAATAAATGAGAACCCTGTGGTACCTATGTTTTTATTATTTCAGTCTTCTTCACGCCTGGGATTAAAATCTCCAGACAAGAGAGTAGTGTTAGATTTGCTTGTGACCGTATTAAATCCTTTAGCAGGAACAGTTTTTTTCCCAGACTGTTTAAACCTAAACAGTTACGTCTGCAGAAGCAAACGTAAGAAGCTAAAAGCTGATGGAGGAGTAACGTGTGCTGAAAGAACTGCTGGGATTTCTCTTGCTGATCTTTGCTCGTTAGGGATTTCTCTCACTACTCTTCTGTACAGAAGTTTAGGACCTTTCTGAGGGAAATCCACCCGGAATCACCTTTCTGACTACAGCTGCCAGGATGTAGCTAGATGAAAGAGAAGGGCTTTGTTTTTTGGGTTTGTTTTTTGGGTTTGTTTATTGGTGTAGGAAGATAAAGCATGGATAGGCATCAGTGTATAGCAGATGTAAGCATCTGTAAGTAGAATGGTCATTATTCCTTGCCTCTGCTAGGAAAGCTATGATTCTTGAGATATTTTATTTCACTGACAGACATTTAGGGATCATAATGATGAATTTGTTAAATTGAGATCATCACAATCCAAATATTGCTTTCTTTATTTTTGGTTTGGTTTTGTATGAGAGCAAATTTTATTATATTGGAAGGAATATCTGGGAAACTGGAAAAATAGCCTCGGAGTTGTATGCTAGAGAAGTATGTAAGAAGCTGTCCCTGCCCTGAACAGTTTGCTCTGCTTTGAGCAGATATTGGGATTAGAGGATTTCTAACCTCAGCATTGCTGTGACTCTGTCCCTTATATATGTAAAATCAATTAATAAAGATATTCTGATTCCAATCTGCTGCAGTTCATCATTTTTCCCTTTATAGTAGTCTTTAAAGCTATGGAATTTGATTAGCCTGTAACTCAAAAATGTTACTGGAATCCTAGGGAAAAACGCTTGCATTTTTCTTTTTGCTTTTCTCTTCACTGAAAGTGCTGGTGATGTTCTAGTGGGCCGAGTTTTGACCACCAGGGAGCAGCAGAGAGCCGCTTCCAGTTTCAGGTGTTCTATTTTGTTTAACTTTTTTCTCTATTCTGGTTGGAAAAGAGCTGTCACTTATAGAGGTCATTCTTCAGAGCAGCGTATGCTCAGATTTGTGCACAGTATTTCTTCTGCATCCTGTATGACTGTCAGTATCACTTAGTAAGTGATGTTGTGCTTGTGCATGCAGTGCAGATATTTGTGCTTTGTGCACAGGAGACCCTAACAGGAAGGTACTGCTACCCGCAGAGAAATGGTGCATAGCACTGCAAAATGTGTTCTGTCCCACAGGGCAATGAGGATTAATAACCAAAGGAGTTTGATTATTTTACTTCTAATTTTATAGTTTGCGTCATTACCAGAGACCTTATGTAAAAAGTTTCTTACATTACAGTCAAAGAAATTAACTAGGTTTTTGTGGTAAATAAGGAACACGTTAAAAAAATCAATGAATTTTAGAACAGGATTTGTAATTATGTATTGACATTTAGTTATTTCTCTTCTGGTTCCAATTACCTGTTATTTGCTTCTTATGGAAAAGTTATTTAATGAGCATGGTTTGTGTGTTCTCAGGATTTACCTGAGAAGAGCAGGAGGTCTTGTCCTAGCATTGATTGAAACCTTCTGCAAGGCAGCGAGTTGTCTTTTGGTGGAGGCAAAAAAGAAGAGTATAGATTTTAAGGGAAGGCTAGTCTTTGGTGCATGCAGTGCCTGAAACTTGGCTGAGGCTGTGGCAATGACAAGTACAACTCACTACTGAGAACTGCCCGCTGACAGGAAAGTGGGTGCAGCAAACTTACCACAGGTTGTACTTGCTCTCCTCCACTTCTGCTCCATGGAATAGAATGTGGGCATTCATCAGAATATTACCAGCCTTAAATTAAGAGTCTGAAAATTTAAAAAAAAAAAAAAAAGTATTATGTAGAAAAATGAAGATTATAATATCAAATACAGCAATTTGACTAGACAACTAGACTAGTTCTAGGTAAACAAACTCTGCGCAAGTTGTCTTTGAACAGAACTGAAAAAGCAATGAAAGGGCACTTAAAAAAAAAACAAAACAAAACAAAAAAAAAAAAAACAACACTTATTTTATATATATTTACAATTTTTTTTCCCCCTGTACATCTGTCTATGAAGCATAGAGAGGTTGTTCTTGTTCTGCTCATCAAGGAAACTGAGTGCTTCAGACAGGTGATTTCCAAACCTAAAGCTCACGTCAGGAGGTCTAGTTTTTCCTCTGAAGATTTTTCTATAATAAGCAATCTCATTTAAAAACAAATATTCTGTATCTGAAGAGTGTAAAGCGTAGCAGCAAGAGAAAATGCAGAATGATTTGAGATACAAAAATCTGTGAATGTAAACCTTGGGGTTTAAAATAACGTATTTGTTTCTAAACTAACTTCATACCCTGAAGCAGTTGGTGAATGTGAGATGATGAATATTATATTCCTTTGTGCTAACAGCATTTTGATGATCTCTACAAGTGTAATGGAAAAATAATATATGTACATCATTTGTGATTTCAGACACCTGTTAATGAAATCCTGTATGAAATTGACAGTAGCCAAGTAGTTGTAGGACTGAAAGTGCATGTCTAGTTTTTCAATTAGAGAATGTTAATATGTATGTAGAGGTAAATATGTTTGCCTTTGTGATTTGTCATGATAAATGCACCTGTAAGTGTTCCAACTGTTGAGCTCAGGGGTTGAAACAGACCAGATAATGGCTGTTTTATGTATTTTTATTGGTCAGCAGGCTTTCAGTAGGGGATATTCTTGTGGTCTAGGGGATATAAGACTTTTTAAGATACTCTCTTTGGTTCATGTCTGTGGAATATCAGGATGCATAAAGAACGGAATAGAAGTATGTCCCAAATTAGTGTTTGTACAAGTTATCAGTTATTTTCACAGTCTGGCTTATACCTCTGTAGTTATGCATGTGTGTATTTGTAAACACAGTGTAATAGCTGCAAACCTTGTTAGTTTCAAAATAACTGCTGTGAAATCTGCAGTTTATCTAGAGTTCTGTTTATCTGATAAACTTAAGTAAATGAAGTTATTGTATTTTAGGATTGTAAGATTTGATCACAAGTCTAAAATTGCTGATGTTATGAGAATGGCAGCCAATAATATAAGAACATTTTTCATGTTTTATGCCCATGTGATTTTTCTAACTTTCATCACCTTTGATTAAATACAAAAAAAATGTATAAGAACAATTATCCAGTGACAATATCAAAGTATTCTTTTTTTTTTTTTTTTTTTTTTTTCTTTTGTAGGGGAATTTACCTAAATATTCACATAACTCTCTGATGGTTCAAGCTATAAAGACTAATTTGACAGATCCAGATATACATGTGCTCTTCTTTGATGTGGAAGCACTGATAATTCAGCTGCTGACCGAAGAGGCTGCAAGACCCAACAGTGCCCTCATCTCTCCTGAGAATTTACAGAAGGCCTCTGGTGGGTCTGACAAGGGAGGCTCCTTCCTGACTGGTAAGCGAGCAGCTGTCCTGTTCCAGCAGGTCAAGGAAACCATCAAAGAAAACATAAAGGAGCATCTTCTCGATGATGAAGATGAGGATGAAGAATCAATGAGGCAGAGAAGAGAAGACACTGACCCAGAATATCGTGCTAGCAAATCCAAACCATTAACTCTACTAGAATACAACCTAACCATGGATACAGCAAAACTTTTCATGTCTTGTCTTCATGCCTGGGGCTTGAATTCTGTTCTAGATGAGCTTTGCCTTGATCGTCTTGGCATGCTTAAGCCACACTGCTCAGTGTCCTTTGGCCTTCTGTCTAGAGGAGGCCACATGTCTCTGATGCTTCCCGGCTACAATCAGCCTGTAGGCAAACCATCCTATGATGGCATGGAGTTGGGCAGGAAGGTGTCCGTTACAGAAGGATTGGGGAAGGGGACGTACGGCGTGTCACGTGCTGTCACCACTCAGCATCTCCTGTCGGTCATATCGCTGGCAAACACACTGATGAGCATGACCAATGCAACCTTTATTGGAGACCACATGAAGAAAGGCCCAACCAGGTAGAACCAGTGCCCCTATTAACACGTGATGACTTCTGTGTAGAGTCTCTATTCAAACACGGTGTTTAATTCTGTTTAATTTTACTGTGGAGTTTGCTGTATCAAGTGGCTTTAAGAACTTTAAATACCCACGCAACCAATGTGTTTCTTCTTTCATGGCAATAGTATTTTTTTTATGCCAAGGTAATGTTGTATTTAATCAGGTTGCAGAAGTTACAACGTTAATATAATGGGGGCTGATGTTAATATGATATGTTAATGTCAGTGTTAACGTAGTACAGGGCTGAAAGCCAGTTTCTGCTCTTCTTTTTAATATTTATAGCATTTAAATAGATGAAAAAGTAGGTCGGATTCTAGGTAAATCAAAACATACGAATGCACATAACCAGGTAAGCTAGAAATTGTAAATGAGATACTTCCTTGATGTCAGCACGACTGTTCTTTGCCCATTGCCTTTCAAAGTTTGTTTAGATGCGGGATCTTAGCAAATAATCTTTCTTCATTTCTCTCCCCTTTTTGCCTTTTCCTTCTTCATGCTCCCTCCTCTCCTACTTCAGGCCACCCCGGCCAGGCACTCCTGAAATGTCAAAAGTGAAGGCCCCTCCGTCGATGGCAAGTCATGCAGCCCAAGGACAAATTAAGCAAGGTAGAAATCACTTTCTTCGGAACAATTTCATACGTCTTCTCAGCTCCATGTGCTGAAGTCATCATGTTGTTATCACGTGATAAAAATGTTACTAGCTTCTACGTGGTTTACAAATGTACTGTTATATTCTAGATGAAAGTTGTAGTGATTAACAAGTTTTTAAGAATCAATTTAAAGTTCTCATATTGACATGGAGTCATTCCCTGACATGGAATTTTTGCGTATTTTCATTGCTTCCTAAATTTCAGATATTGAGGTGTCTGTAAGGCATTCACAGTTATTACAGAGTAGAAGAAAAATGTATACCATGCATATAAGCTGAAGTATAAAGGTGAAACATATGTAAACACATAAATATTTCCTCTTTCTTTTTAGAAGGAGTGAGATTTATTTTTTTTTTTAAACACTGCTTCTACTGCTGCTGCTGTTTCTATTATCTGTATTTATGAAAGATGGCAGTGGATGATACTGGATCCTTTAGGAATCTGCATTCTCTTTTATTTCATGAGTACAGTGGCTAAATATAAAACATAGAACAACCTGTGATACAAAAGAAGGATGTACATAAGGTTAGACTTTAATTCCTCAAGTGGTGGGAGCAGCCCAGAAGCAGTCCCACAGAGAATGGAGGGAGGATGGAGGTGCCTCCACCTCTGCTGAATTAAAAAGCTGCTGTTCACTGGGGCAAATGAGTTATTCGTCTTAATGGAAAAAACAAGTAAATCTGTGACAACATGGCGTAGCCTTTTTACGTTGAGTGCAGAGCTAAGGAGCAGTGAGATGTTTGCTGCAGCTGCTGGGGACACAGACAGTGTCTGCTCATGTAATTTCTTCCAAAATTATAGTTAAAAAAAAAAAAAAAAAGCTATTAAAACTTTGCCTCTTTGAGGTATGGAGCAATTTGCAATTTGTAAAATGGTTGCATTTTGCAGAAAACAAATGTTTACTGTTGTATTTTTTATGGATATTTATCTTTTGTATTTTGGATATCCTTACGTATGTCTTTAAACTATGAAACTGCTCTTGTATTAGGAAGCTGGTAAGCACAACAGGTAACTGACACATCAGTTGTGATTTTTTTATCATTTGCATCCAAAAGTGAGGTTGTTTATATCCAAAGAAGAAACTTGCTTGTCAGAGGTGCTTGTGCTTGTACTCTTGTGCTGAATACAAATTTGTTTTCATCTGTATTTTGAAAGAGGAAGCCAGTTTCAGGAATGATATGCATCAGGCTTTTGTTCTCGTGTAGGGATGCTGCAGAAGTAGAGAAGTAGCAGTCAGTGACAAAAAAGTGGAAATTAAAAAAAACCACAACAGTGCAGTAGGGCTCTTGTCTCTAGATCTGTTTTTTTAGCTGTTTACTTTTCTTTGGAAAATTTGTACTAGAGAGGCCAGTGTTTCCCGGAGATGGTATCTTTTGGGCAAGTTCAATGCCAGAAGAAGCATATCTGTCAGAGATAGCATATACTTTTGTTTTTAACTGTGCAGTTATATTGCAGTTATTCTTTCCTGAATGAAAAGAATGTCAATTTTCTTTTGAAACAGCTTTGCTCGTTATGATGGTAGACATGCACAGTGCAGGGTACTCACTGGAAGTATTTTTAACTTCATCAGAAATAACTGATAAAAATAGAAATTATATGCATTATATGCACAGTTCCTTTACTGTGATGTTTTGGGGTGTTTTACCAGTGTTTGGCAGTGTGACTAGAATGCTCCTGGAAGAAGAGTTTGAATGCTACCCTTAGGTCATACATTTATATCCCATTGTTGCTACTTACAGCATCTTGCTGCTCATAAATTACCAGTGCTTCTTAAAAATCAATTAGTATAGATACGATTAATGCATAGTATGACGTGCTGAATGTCCACCCATTTGACCTGTATTTGTCCTGAGCTCAGCACATCTCTGTGCTACTCTGCTATTGGGCCAGCTGCTTCCATCATAGTGACTGTTATGATTATTGACACTTGCAGGCAGAGAACAACAGCAACAGGGAGAAATTTCAAAGTCTTCAATTTTGTTTTAAGAAACAAACAAACAAACAAACACAAAAACACATAAATTTATTTTCCATAAGTTGAACAGCTTCTTTTATACATCTGCTGAAAGCAGTCTTTGTTGTGAAGTGACTTCTGCTGCTCATGCTGTCACTGTACACGTGCCATCGTGCTGCATTCATGTGGAAGGCATGGCAAAGTGTCCCTGATGCAGATGTCCTCCAGTGACAATAGAACTTCACTGCATGAAAAGCAAACAGAAGACAATGCTTAATCTGTTCAGGAGCTTGAACCCATTGTTGTTCTGCAACGGAATAAAAGAGGGGGATGACATATGGTAATTTCTCAGCAGGAAGGAGGTGTCAGATAGGGTCCTCTAAATCTCCACATTGACCTCTGGTTGTAGCTGTGTATGCCATAAGGTCTGCATGTCTTTTCATGTGATAAAGTTCAACAATGAGCATTACGGGAGTATAATGTTTAGAACTGATTTTAAATTGCATTTGCACAAGAAATTACACAGTTTACAAAGCAAATACATCACAGCTGCTGCTTGGAGCACGTGCCTTCCTGTCAGCTTGCCTGTAGTGTTACCCTGGATGCCTTACATCCATCTGCTTGATGTTCTCAGCCTTTTCCTCTGGTTGAGGTTCAAGCTTGTTCGAATAGAGAAAAATTTAAAATGGAACTATATTGAAACTAATCATCAGCAGTATGTTCTGCAGCATTTTAGATGAATAGGTGGGACAGCCCAGGTTTGAAAGGGATTGTTTCTGGGTTGTTACTGTTTGGTTGTAATGAGCAGTACAAATTTGAAATCTGTCTTCAGAAAAAAAACCCAAACAGAAGCAAAACTCCTGCTTTGAAATGCAGTCAACAGTGCTGCTGAAGTGAGCTCAGCTTTCAAAGTCCGTAGTTGTGATCTTTTCATTTGCAAATACCTTCTTCTCAAAACATGCAGAGTTATGCTAGTGACTCTGTTTTTCTGTAGTTGCATGCCTTCTCCTCACTGACACACTCCGCTTCTTATAAAGCCTAGAAGTTTTTTTTTTTCTTTTTAAGTTTAATATTATCACGGTTTTGTTTTTCATTCTTCAGTGATACTAATCTGTTTTTCAGAAGCTGCTATCCTCACTTTCCTATTTTTTTCTCTTTATTTCTTCTTCTTTCCTCTGCAAGTTGCTCCTGCTGTTTCTTCTAGCACTGAAGCTGGTCACTCTGGCTCTGACACTGCTCCTCCTTTACATACCTGTTTCTTAGTAAATGAAGGTATCTTTCCTCATTTTTTCTATCTATTGTCTTTTACTTTCAACTAATGTTCCTTATCATTGTTATGATGTGACTTTAATTTGTTCTTTGGAGGTATTTTTCTTTTCAAGAAATAGAGGTGATGAGTTTATTTTTGCATATTTGCTGCTAGAGGGTGAACAGATGGGGTTTGTCTGTCCGGGACTTTCTGTCGAAGTTCAGTTTTCAGTGACCACGTCAAAGCTTGGATTTCAGACTGTATCTTGTTTTGCTGTTGCTTTTTGACAAAATAATGAACCTTTTTAAAGTAGGAAGAATGTGAGTGACCAAACTGCAGCTACAGCATGCACAGTTCATGTCCCACTGCTGTACTTCCACGTGGGTATGGCTGCTGCTTCTCAGTGCAATGGCTCAGCTCCATCTGGAGCTTGGGGATCTTCTGGGAGTGCCTGTAGCACAAACCAGGAGGCTAAACCTTTTGTGATGCTTTATATTCAGAACTGAACAAAAATGAGCTTCACATCGCTTAAATCTGATTTGTAGTGCAGTGAAGACAGAAACTGTTCAATTGGACTACTTGGGGTTTGTGTTGATTTTTTTTCTAATAGAAGTTCATCTCCATAGTGAAGAATGACTTTCTGCCCTGAAGATTGGCACACACACAAATAACCTAACACAGACCAAACTAACCCACAACTCCTGAATTGCTTCAGGGAATTTGCTTTAAACCTTTGCTTTGATGCCTTATTGCTAAGCCATAAATCTGTGTTTTTTCATAGGAATTTCAAGAATTAGATCTTATTATTTTCCTTGTAGCATCATGAAAAACTTTGCTAGTTCAAATACTGAGATTTTTGTGTTCACCATTGCTGACAAATTAAAAATGGAGATCTATATGCTCATTGCAGGTATTTCTCATGCTTCTCAAGTTGAAGTAGATCATAATACTAAGAGCATGTTTTTGGCGTACGTTACAGGACATTTTAGATTGTGTTGTTTGGGGTTGATAGATTCCTCTTTACAGCTCTTAACTAAGTAATATTTCAGGCTTCCAGTGTGAAGCAGGATTTAAATGGGAAGAGTGAGAGTGGTGGACAAATGTGTGCTTTGATGTGCTGGCGTACCTCCTTAAAACATCTATAATCTTCCTAGTGGTAATTTATATGATTAGCTTTCTTTAAATGAATGGCATCAAACTTGCATTTAGGACACTGTGTGAAAATAATGGAAACTACTGTTTCAAAAAATCATTGAAGATGGTCTTGAACTCAGGACTGTGGCTTGTGCTTAGGAGCTTTTCAGTATTTAGTGTGTTGAACATGCTCTGAGGGTTGCAAGCTTGAAATTCAAGCCTGTGATTCAGTGCAGTTATACTTCCATTTTGAGGGAGGATGAAAAGAAAGAGTGTTTTTGATGTGTTCTTCTGTGTTTGAACAGGGTGGAGCCAGCTTGCTGCCATGCACTGTGTGATGCTCCCTGACCTGCTGGGTCTGGACAAGTTCAGGCCTCCTCTTCTGGAGATGCTGGCTCGCAGGTGGCAGGATCGCTGCCTGGAGGTGAGTTCATAGGATCACAGAATTACAGACTGGCTGGGTTGAAAGGGTCCCCAGAATCCCCCAGCCCCACTCCACCATGATTGCCCTCTCCAGCTCAGGCTCCACAGGGCCCCATCCGTGTCCTCGAGCCCTCCAGGGATGAGGCACTCACACTTTTCTGAGCAGCCTGTGTATCAGTTCAGCAGTAATATTTTGTTTTTTGTTTTTGTTTTTCCCCCCTCACCCCCAGTGCCCAATTCTAAAAACCCCAAATAACACGCCTTCAAATATCAGTCTTATGTTTTTAAGTCTTTGTTTATTTAAGAGACACATCGTTTTAGATGAGAAGCTTCCGTGATGTGCCACTGGATGGCAGCCTTGCTCCACTGCAACAGGAGCAAATCACTGAGGGAGTCCTCAGGGAAGCTCAGTTCCCAGCAGCAGAACCTTGGGGCAAAGGGAGAGAGGATGTATGGAGGTGTGGGAGGAGAGGCAGAAGTGATTAATGCGTTGCAATATTTGAATGTTTTGTTATTTTGGTTTTTATTTATGCAGAGTGCAGCTTTATGTACCTGTCCGATGTTGATGGCTTTTATTAAGCTCATTTTTCCTTAATATAAAAAGTACTTTCTGACAAAAGTTCTTGTAGCTGCTGATTCTAGATTCAGCAGGTCAGTTTTCCCATTAACCTCTTTCAAAATGTTGAAAAAATGATTGTATCTCTCTATATTTGTTTGTTCATGTGTTTTTTCTTAGCTTTTCTGTGACATATACTGTATATACATCTTCCTAACGAAATTCCAGGATTAAAATTTCTCTTATTCCATTATGAATCTCTTTGGGATCAAAAACTAACCTATGTGTTTTTTTTTTTTCCTCAAGAGACTGCTGAGTTGCTTAATTTGTTGGAGCTTGTGTACAGCAGTCAGTAAGTGGTTTGTCACCAACAGTGTGATAAATGACTGCTAGGCCTTAACACTGCACCTATGCTACTGTGGCAAAAATTTCGTTGACTGTGCAGCTTTCAGAGTAGGAAAGGAGGAACAGAGCTGGATTATAGGCTGTAGGACTTGAGCAGTCTTGTAACTTAATGGGGAATAGGCTTTTTGCTAGCTGGGTGCCTGTTCTTGTGCTAGATAGGATATACCATGAGATGGTTTTCTGAGAGGATAATTGCTTTGAAACTAATTAGGATTTGTAAGCAGTAGGAGTCCGTTTTCAGGATATCCTGAGGTGTCAAGCTAGCGTTCTGCTGATCCCTGCTTGCCCACGGTTTTCTGTCTTACCTTGATCGAGTTGCATAACTTCTTTGTGTGTATACATTGCCCTTTCTTCCACACTGCACACAAATGAGATTATTTCATTTGAAAGCTGTTCCTTGGGGATTTTTGTTCTGCTATGGTATTCCAACATCCAGCTTCGATATTAGAAAAATTATTTATTCGCTGCATATCTTGGAATTCTGGACAACTTTTGTTAGAAAGAAGGCTGATCACAAGTTGTTTCTAGAAAATTCAAATTTTGGTGATATTTTAGTGCATCAGTGCTACTGTGACTGGCAATAACCATTTTACTTGATGTAATGTGAGCCACCTTATTTCTTCCAGTGGTAAACCTCACTTTCTGTTCACTTGTGGGGATGTAAAGTAGCCTCTTTGCTGGGGAAGGTTTTCTCACAGTGCCTATGACTCTGTTATGTCCTGTGTTGGGAGTCACCATAGTTGGGGGTTGTCCTGTTTGTGGCCATGTTGTTTCTGTACTTAAGTTGGAAAGGAGCAGGAAAAAATGTGAGTTTTCTAAAAACTACATTTAGTTTTTTATACAAGTTTTTTTTTTTCTTTTCTTTTTTTCTTTCTTTTAAGTGATTCTTTTTGTCGTGGTAGCTAAATTGTACTGATAGCATATTGATAAATATTTCATGATTGAGTTTCTGTGATGTTTCGGTTGATGTATAGGTACGAGAAGCTGCCCAGGCCCTGCTGCTAGCAGAACTGAGGAGGATTGAACAGGCAGGCCGGAAGGAGACCATTGACGCTTGGGCTCCATATTTGCCACAGTACATTGACAGTGTCATATCACGTAAGTAATTGTGTGACTAATGGTAAAATAACTCCACTGATTGATAAAGGGGGAAAAAGGAATGCCATAAACCAATTTGTTAGCAGTTCTGCCAACTTAGGGAAAGAGGCATTTGAGTTATGCATGAAAATTTCTGGAAATTTTCGAATTTGGTAGTCATGAAATTGCTTGGGATCCCTAATGTTGATTAGATAAATAGAGCATTCAGTGCATTTCACTAGGAATGCAGAGTCTTTTGCAAAGGCTTTCCCTAGTATTGAGGGGTAGGGCTGTAGTTTGGAGATTTCAGAGAAGAAACCTACTTTGGAAAAGGCTGGCATAATTACCAAAGAGTTTAAGATTATAGAAATGGTTATGAAGGGATTCTTTGGCATCCCCAAAGCATAGAAGGGTTCTGAAAGGAACTAATGCAGCCGCGTGTAGGAGTTGACCTTCACTGTATGTTGGACATTTGGTACAACTCTTGCCTCATTGAGTGTTCAGAACCAATGGTTACTCAGGCTGCAGGGAGATTCTGGGTGAAGATGGCTCTGCAGTTATCAAGGATTCATTAGGCAGTAATTTATGGTGGTGAACATAAGATTACAGTATTTCGCTTTGAAATGCGGAACATTTTTCTGCCTTATCACATTCACAAAAGTCTAAAACTGGAAGTTAATGGACTTTAGGGCATTAGAAGGTTAAGCTCATTTTGAAGAGTGGGTGTGAAAGACGCATCTTGCAATGTTCTGCTAAGATTTCTTAAACTGTACTAGAAGTATATAAAGAATGAGAGCTGTTCCTTTCTAATCTCTCCTGCAATTTATAAAACGCGTGTAGCAGTAAGTCATTTCCTCCAGCTTTCTGCAGTCCCTTTTTGGTAATTTCACACCATTGTTCACACCATCCTCCTGACTTGACTTTGATTATTGAAATGCCAGATTAGATGTGCTGTTTCCAGCTCCTTTGAATCACGTACTCTTCCCTTTTCTATTTTTCTCTATATGTTTCTTTCCCCTTTCCTGATGTCATGTGTGTTAACACAACCACCTTATTATTTGCTAGGTCTCCTTTCTTTGCATATTTACTAAAAGATAATTTAAAATACTGCTGCAAATGCGATTCTCTAACTATTTTGGTTGTTTAATATGTTTGTAAGAGAAAGCACTGGTTTTTGTAACTAGTTTTTTGGCATCTTCATGTCCTCATTTCTTTTTTTGTTGGGTAAAGGCATTTTCTGAAGAAATCAAATGAATTACTGAAGTACAAATTAAAAAACAAACAAAAACCCTTAAAACTGAGACAAGTTGCGTTTTGATTTCCTGATGAATCTGACTGAATTAATTTTAAATAACAGCTGATCCCTTTTGACAAAATACTGCCAGTTGAAATGTTCCACTTGTAGGTGAAATGATAAAGGGAACTTCTTTTAAGTACATCTCCTGCAGCCTATGAAAGTCATGTGTAGTTCTGAATGATTGACCATACTTGGAACACTTGGCTCGTGGGCAGAGAAGGATTTTAACAAGATCTAATGTTATCAAGGACACGGGTCTCCTGTGTACTTTGAACCATGAAACATATGTATTTACCAAAACATCAGGCTTCTGACCATGATTGTGTACAAACATCTTGCAATAATGCACTGGTACATTATATAATATTTCTTCTTCACATAAATTAAACCACCACGGACCACTGTTTAATCTGTTACATTTTTCTCCAAAGATACATCTCCAGCTATTTTCATACTGTTCACTCTTATTAAAGCAGAGATTGTGCAAACTCTAAGAATGTATTATTGCAAGGTCAGTCAGCATCACGCAGTACACCATTCACTTAACTGTCCATAGTCTTTCCTTTCCAGAATGATGTACAAACACATCTGCCATTTGTAAGAAAGCAGTAAAAATATAAATGTATTTTTGTGAATGAGAATGTTGCCTTAAAAGTAAAGTAGTACACGTTCATTTTCCTTAACTGTGATTCTTCCACTGAAGGATGTAGCTTCTATTCAGGGAAGGATCTCTATCAAGCACAATTGATTTTAGAGAAATGTGTAATAATCTTATTAAATCTAAATTGAATGCATAAATTTCATGGGATGCGGTATGTTCAGGTGGTGCTGAGGCAGAGCTGCTGTTTATTGCAGCCTTTAGGCATGCAGCCTTTGCCTTACAAGGGTGTTGCTGCTCAGCCAGATGTGCAGCCAGGCCATCAGCAAGGAGTGGGAGTGTGCTGTACATACTGCCAAAGAGCCTCCGTTCAAACCGGTGGAGATTGGTGCTGTTCTGAATGTTTGGATTTATTTTTTAATTGCTCTTCTGGCGAGACTGCTTGTGCTCAGTTTGTGGAGTATAGCTTTAGTTGCCCTTCAGTCTCACAGTAGCTGCTGTAGCAGCTGTTAGTGAGTGCTGATTTCTCTGCAGTGAAACAGAATGACTGTGTTAGGAGCAAGGTTATGGGCTGTTGAAGTGTATGTAAGGCACTTTGTAGGGCCCCTGCTTCCAAATCAGGAATTACCACTTAATCAAAGTCACACTAACCCCAGCATTCTCTATTTGGGGTTCTTCTCATTACGTAAACTCTGCTGTGTGGAAGACTGAGAAGAGCATGTTGTGTTCCACATGTGCATAGCTGGAAGCAGAATGTTTAGTTCCGCTCTTGTGCCTGTGCTCAGGCTGTAGGCATGGTATGTGTGTGTACAGCAACTGCCAAAGATGGGCTGGTAGGAAAAAGAAAAGCTAATTTCCTGTACGTGTTCAATACACACAGCATGAATACATACAGCAATACTTTGGCATTTTTTTAGTTATTAGCAGATCAAAACATAGCATTTGTTTTAACACTAGATTAGAATGCACTTAGCTATCAGAGCAAACAAGATTTACAAAAGGAAAAAGTAGGGAGAAATCAGATGAGGAGTGTGGGTGAATGAATGACTTGAGTGCAAGCGCTCAGTATTGAAAGCAGTGATACAGAAAACGTATAGAATACATAATGATTAGCACATTGGAATTATGCCTGAGTTTGTGGTTCTGAATGGCAGGGTTGGAAGGCTGTTGTGCAGCAGTACCAGCCGTGTGAGCATCCACAGAGGTGCTGGCACCCTGAGGAAGAGCAGTGATTGTGATATCAGACTGGAGTAATGAAATTAATGAGGAGCTGCAGAGCTTGCTTTTGTAGGCAAAGTGTACAGATGTTCCCTTAGTTACAGTACAACACGTGATATAAGTTGATTCCTTGTTTTGAAAGATATGGGGAGGGATCAAGGGGATAAAAATAACTTGGAACGGCCCAAATGGACGTGATGAGTTTCTGAAAAACATGGCTTAGTGCTGGAAAACAAGCAGAAGGAATATGGTACAGTTCAAGAAATACTGCTCTACCTCCTTCATCCTCCATGTCTTCCCATGTCCTGACTTACTAGGGAGGCATAGAATACTATCAGCACATTTCCCTCCAGCCCATCTTAGTACATTATGAGAGTTCTTGTATGTGTGATGTGGAGAAAGTGCTTTTCTTTGACATGGCCGGTTGCTTTATAAGTGGAACAAACTAATAGAAGCTTGGTGCTGGTATCTTTAGCCATATGCATTCAATTGGCTCTTGAATGTCTCAGGAGTGCAGTGTTAGCAAAAAAGGTGAGATCTCTCCATTTGTATACCTGCACATATCCCAAGAGGAGCTGGGGGCAGGACTGTGCTCGCTGAGATCTACTGGATGTGCGTGTCTCTCAACTCCTTGATGTGTGGAAAGCAGCAATGCAAATTTGCACTGGATTATATTCTAATAATCTTTTAACTGATGCGGGAGAGAGCACTGTGAACCATGGAAATACAAATTCTTTGAGCTTGTGTCTGAATCATGTTGCCATTTAATGGGGAAAACTGTACGCTTATGCAGGTTTTATTCCCATACCTGGTTTTGAATTTTGAGGAACTCAGTAGTGTTGGCTGATGTCCCAGAGCACACTGAATAGTGCAACTTAGGAGCAGAAATGTAATCGGTGCTTGGAGGTGTGCTCATTTCCTGATCACTTTGTGTAGTGATTGTGCAGGAGTGCAATTGCAGGTAGCTCTTAACAGAGAGATCAGCAATTTGTATCATGTGTATTATCCCTTCCTTGTTTCTGAGCAGCCAGCTGAGGGAATTATGGCTTTAAAGGATGGGCAGCAGGGTCAGGTGGATTCCTTCTTAAAAATTCCTTCTTAATTGCTATTTCATATCAATTTCTCATTTCCAGCCAAACTTTTTGATGAATAAAAACAAAGGGGAAACACTGCATTATTTATTCTCAATCCAGAGCATGTTTGTTGAGCTAGTCGTGTAACCCTTTACTTTTACATATAATTACATCATAGATATGTTAACGTACATGTTATATTTGTAGTCTTTATATTCAGCTGTTAAGCTGTGCGTTATGAACATGAAATGGGTGAAATGAATGTGGCGTCATGATTTGAAAGTGTTGAGTTGGTTTAGCCATTGATATTGTCAGCCTTGCACATGAAGGGAAGCTTTGGAAGCTTCATGTTCTGTCTGCTAGGGTTGTCACGTAGCCTTTACCTGCTCCTTGTTTTCACATGTGATTGTTTCTGCAGTCTGTAGTGCATTCTCCATGAGGAACAGTGCTCAGTTCAAAAAGGGAAAAATGTCACCTCTGTTACCTGCTTATTTTGAAGAGCAAAGACTTCCTCAATGCAAGATGGATTCTGCAAATGATTTTTTTTTTTTCTTTTCTAACAGATTTCGTTGCTGAATGTTGTGTTCCTATTAATTTATTTTTCTGTTGTTCAGTGTAGTGTCTTCTAAAAATGCTGAGGCAGGTGTTTCATGAGCCCCATGCAGTGGAACCCCTGAATGTTCCAGCATGAAGTCTGCCCACCCAGCAGTGCAGAGCCTGATGTGTTTTAAAATACGTGGTGTTACTGCAGATACAAAAATGGTTCCTATGTCTTTAATGGAAAGCAAAAGGTTATCTGGCCGTGCCCTTTGTGTGCATGCTGCAGGCAGGCAGGCAGTGTGCACTGGGAGCTGCCAGATCGATCGGGTGCTGCGTACTGAATTAATTCCAGGCAGGAATCTGCTGCCAGTGAATGCTGCCTAAAAATTAGGTCTGGATGCTGCTGGTGCTTCCCATATTGTTAAACCTAACGTCTTCATCAAATTATTACTTCTTGTAAAGTGGAAATCTTAAACAATGTGGCAACGTGAAATTCAAGGGAGAACAGTTCAAGAATGTGTTTCTAAATTTCTTTGCTTTGATCATAACGCATTCTGATAACAAAAATAAGCATGATAAGTCTACAACAAATATGGTGTTGTCACTCTTATTAATATATTTCTGGTAAATGTATATCTCTGTAAGGAAGTTTTACTTAAGATTAACTGAGTAAAACATAATTGAGCTTCAGTTGATTTAAATGGGAGTTTTCAGTTAGTAAGGACACTGCGATCAGACCTCAAAGACTGCTGTATATCCACATGGTTGGTCACTCTGCTCCTGCAAATTCTTACTTTGCCGAGCACAAAGGAGTAAATGAAACAGATTTGCACGGCGCTATTTTGGTGTAGTAATAGAATAATCAGTTTATGATGCTACAGTAAATGATGAACTGTAATCATAGAGTCATGGAATCATTTGAGTTGGAAGGAACTTTTAGAAGTCATCAGGTCGCACTCCCTGCAGTGCACAGGAGCATCCACAGCCCCAGCAGTGCTCAGAGCCCATCCAGCCCGACCTCAGCTGTCTGCAGGGATGGGGCACCATCACCTCTCTGTGCAGCCTGTGCCAGAGTCTCACTGCCTATATTATTGATAACTTCTTCTTTGTATCCAATTTAAATCTCCCTGCCTTTAGTTTGAAACTATTCCCACTTGTCTTGTCACGGCAGACCCTGCTAAAGAATCTGTCTCCTTATTTCTTAAAGCCCCCCTTTTGATTTTTGAATGGCTGCTCTCAGGTCTCCCTGGAGCCTTCTCTCCTCCCTGCTCTCAGCCTGTCCTCACAGGGGAGCTGTTCCATCCCTGGCACCACTTCTGCAGCCCTCCTCTGGATGCGCTCTGTCAGGCCCACGTCCCTCCTGCGCTGAGCACTCCCCATCTGGACACGGCACTCCAGGTGAGGTCTCACAGCTCGGAGCAGAGGGGCGCATCCCCCCTCGCCCTGCCGGCCACGCTGCTGCGGATGCAGCCCGGGACACGGTTGGCTTTCTGGGCTGTGAGGTGACACTGCTGGCTCGTACCCAGCTGCCGTCCAGCAGCGCCTCGCGTCCTTTTCGGCAGGGCTGTGCTCCATCCTTGCATCCCCCAGCTTGTACTGAGGGTGCAGGTTGCCACAGCCCAGGTGCACTCCTTGCGTTTGGCTTTGTAGAACCTCTCACAGGCACCGCTCAGCCTGTCCAGGTCTCTCTGGATGGCATCCTGTCACCCTTGGGCCTGCCAAAAGCACCAAAGCTTGGTGTCATCCACAAACTGCTGAGGATTTGCTCCATCCCACTGTTAATTTTCCAGTGTTTTCTAATGTGTCAGCAGGCTTATGTTTCATACACGCACTTTCTTTCTGACCTTTTCATTTCCAAATCATGTTTCTGAGACATTTTGGTGAATTATGTAGAAGGTAATTGTGTATAGGAAAACATATCCTTTCTTGCTGGATTTTCATTTAGAGGAAGTGATAATGTACAACTATTGCCTGATTTTCTGTGTGATTGATATCTTCCTCCCCCCACTTTTTTTATTTTTTGAGAATCATTCAGATTGAATAATTTGTGCTTAGGTTTTAATTTTAATTATGTAAAATTGTAATTGTAAATTGTAATATTTCATATCCTGTTCTTAGAACCAACTCGTGCAAAAACATTTCTGTCTTTTCATTCTATTATCACTGGTCTTGCTAAGCTCTTTAGGTGTAGCACATCTAACGTGAAAGCTCAGCTGCTTCTCTTCAACCTGAGGATAAAATGCAGTGAAAGAGGTGATGTGGGAACTAAGGGACATGGTTTAGTGGGCATGGTGGGGATGGGCTGACAGTTGGGCTTTTCATGATCTTTGAGGTCTTTTCCAGCTTTTTGATTATTCAATGATTCTAAACAAATCCAAGGTGTTGTGCTTTGGCCCATCCAAAAAGCATTTTGACAGTGCAGTGCTGGAACTACCAGGTCCTTACGGGAGCTGAAAAAAACATGCTGGGAGACAGCCATGATCAAACCCCTGAGAGTGCTCCTCTCCATGTAGTTTATTAAGAACTATTGTATTTTCACTTATAAACCATATTTTTACATCTGGGGAGGACGAGTTGTTTATCACATCGAAACTGCTCCAAACTGAAGAAATGTGTGTGTTTGTTATTTTATTTTTCATAAGGATGCTGAACAAATGGCAGAGGAGCAGCAAGGGAATAGGCAGGACTTGGTCACCCTGTGCTAGTTGACAGTCTGGGGTAGCAAAGGGAAAGGCATTCCAGATTTATTTCTTTCTGAAGCTTGGCTGGTGCTGACAAAGGGCTGTAGTCCTTTTTTAATGGGATCTTAATGCCTCTATAGATGGCAAGCCTAATGCCACAATCAGGAAAGCAGCAATCTCTTCATATAATAAGATTTTTGATAGCTGACATAAAGGATACATCAGGAGGAAAGAAATCTTATCTGGGCTCTCTTCAGTCTGCTCCTTCAGCTTTCCTAAAGCTCTTTGGGAACACTATTTGTGAGGCTGTGCTTTTTCACTCTTAGCAAAACGCTTCTTTTGATAGTGCCTTGATGGAATTGCAGTAAGGTCTGGGCAGGGGCTCATAAAGGTGAAAGCTGGGCACAGTACACCGATGAATGATAGCCTCCTGTGATGTTACACGGCATGACTTAGTGTCCATACCACAATTTGCAAGAGCAATTAACTCGTACATCACAACCAAGTTATGCAGAATGGCTCAGATGAGGGAATGTACTCTGAAAGTGACATGGAAAGAGCTGTTTTTTGGTGGGAGAGATGCAGGATTAATAGATGTGCGAGAAGTTCTGCTGAAGTCAGTTTTATGGCTAAAGAGGATGTTGTGTCTTTCTTTTGATTGTTTTAATCATGTTAGAAGGTAAAAAGGAAATATGAGATGTCTACACTGTGGAGAACGTTTATAAAGGAAAGGTTTGTATTATAGGAAGTCAGAAAATAGTTTATCTTTGCTTTATCTGCATTTCGTAGTGCTACATTGCAACAGAAGATAATTTTATTTTTCCCTAGTGTAGGGTTGTTGTCTGAGAAAACCATTTTGACTTCTTATGGGTGTTTGGCTGTTATTTTTTCAGCTGGAGTTACCACGGAAGCCATTCAAACTGCTACTGCAAGCCCAGATTCATTGGGAACAGAGGCAAAAGTTCAGGAGGAAGAGCATGATCTAGTGGATGACGACATCACAGCTGGTGAGCCTAACAAAACGTATTTCTTTTTTTTTTTTTACTTATTGAGTTCAGTGCAAAAGAGATGGAACACTTTCTTTCTGACTTTCCATACTTCTCATGTGAAAATGAAACATATGCTTAACTCTAACTACTGTCTTTTTACTGCATTGCTTCTGAAACAAATATTCTTCAGTGTGTTTTGAGCTTTGTTGTCTGCCTGCAGCTGACATACTTAGCTCTTAGGTTTGATTCTTTATTGTTACTTCTTAAATGATTTACCGTGGTGAAAAGACTGATGCAGAGGTGCTGCCATCGTAATCCACTTCACTGAATTGTGTTTTCTTTCAGTGAGTAAATGCTGTTAGTGTGTCATACATGGAGTTCAAGTATGTTTTGGTTCTAAAAGACTAATACAGCTTTTTACCGTTGCTGTATGTTTCTGTAGACTGATGGATGGTTGAGAATTCCGGCCCCTCAAGGCATGTTCTGAAATGACAGGCCATACAAAAACAAACATTTAATTACAACAGTTCTCTTTTGATTCTTTTGTTCATGCTTGTCTGTGCAGCATCGTGGGGAAAATACTCGTATGCTCAGTATCAGTACCTTCAGAATTTGAATGACTGCAGTATGTATTTTGGCATAGCATAGCACAGATTATAGAGCGCAAGAGCTGTGCTGTTCTGTCAGCTCAGACTATGTTGTCTGAGCTTTTTATAGATTTTTGTGAAAGTCAGAAGGAAAACTATTCGTATTGACCAGAAGACTGTTAGTATGCCAGATGGAGTTTTGGGTCAAGTCTCTGGCTGAAGGTGACTGAGACAAGATTCCTGCTGGTTGAGGAGTAGACTGTTTGGAGCACAGAGTATTAACACAGGCTGTTTGGAGAAGGCTTGAAAGAGCTGTGAGGGAGGAAGAGTGCTGGAGATGCTTGTAGGGTCTGGGGGAATATGTGGGAATTGTCAAAAACAGCAATGGATAGAGGCTGAAAAAATGGAAATAAAGAACGGGAATTTGTGAAAGGGCTTATAGTACCCTGAAATGCTTTTCACAAGATATCCATTACATTGTGTTTTTTTGAGAAAAGTAGCATCTACTTGGTCCCATGTCTGTCAGCGGCCAACTGGTTCCTCTTCTGGAAGCCTCAGTAACAGCAGTATTACCAACTATAGAATACATCTATAGGCATGAGTTGTATCATTCCCTCATTCCCCTTTGATGCCCTATGTATTTTTCAGGGGAAAGATGGAAAATGGGCCACTTTATTGGAGGCAGTTCCAAATGATGTGCGTTTCCCTGCTCCCTGCCATTCCTGATCAAAGCGATTGAGCTTTAAAAGCTGTGTTCTGAGTAAATACAAAATTTCTATCTACAATTGAATGCAATCAGTTTAGTGTTTGTAGAATACATAAAAAAATTAATTCAAACAGTTTGAAGCTTACCTTGTCATCTTTAAACATGATGCAGCTTCTTTCTATAGTGGTCCTTTTAGAGCTAATACTTATTGATTGACTGCACAAAGTAATACCAGTGTGCAGTGGTCAACAGGATTTTTTTCCAATTCAAATTGGTATTCACCAAATGCTCTCATTCCTTCAAATAATTTTTTAAAAGGATCACTTCCACATTGGTCCTTTTAGAGATTAAAGCAGTTTAGCTTAGCTTGCTGAAAAGCACTGAAGCCTATTTCTGGGAAACAGCACCACAGTGCCTGTCAGGCATTTAACAACACACAAGCAGGAGTTATATGGGAAACTGAATGTTGTTGTTCAGATGTACTGAAAAGACATGCAAGAACAGGCTTCCAAGCTGTTATCTTTAATGCCTACAAGGCTCTTCTGGATAACTAAACCTAGAGCAAATATCTTGCTTAAATCATTCACATTAGAACAGTAGTGTTTTTTTGTTTTGTTTTGGTTTGTTTTTTTGCTACTTGGGTGGAGAATCTTCTGATTTCATTGACTGAACTTCTTCAAAATATATTTCGTATTTAATATCTTTTATTGCCTTGTAATTTTAATCTTAGTTGCTAACCTCATTTTAGGCTCTAAGATATCATCTAGCCTTTTTTTTTTTTTTTTTTTTTTTTAGAAGTATAGATCTGTTTTTAAATCAGTAAATAAAGGAAATAAGGAAGAATAAACACAGTGCTGTTACGTGTTTGAAGATGTGACTGTCTGCATTTGAGGTGTGCCTGGAACCCACACAGCAGCATCTGCAGGGATAATAAAACAAACACACTGCTGAGCACATAACAGAGATAAAGGGTCAGATGTCACCAGTGCTGTGAAAAAGGCACTGTTGTGGCGCCTCAGTACCTCTGCTGACAGATTTATTTACTAGCATAGAAAATGGTGTAACAGTGCAGATAGACTCTTTAGGAATTCAGTGAGTTTCCCATGTTCAAATGAAGGCCTTCAAGGAAGTAACTTTTAGGTTGCGGTAGTGTGTGCCTCTGAGCTGTGCAGTATTGCCTTAGTGCTGGACATAAATAATGTATTGGGACACAGTAAGGCATATATTCTAAATCTTCTATGGATTGCTCTTGCACCTAATCAGCAGTACTTCCCCACGCCCTGCATGTGGGGCTGGCACAGCTCTCGGGACCTTGCTGGGGCAGGGGAAACTTGAGGACCCTTCCCACCCCAACCAGGCTGTGACTTCTGGAATGAGTGGGGGCTTTGGCATTGCAAAATGGGGAATTTTTCCACAGCAGTTTCTTTTTGTAGCAATGACTTTGCTCGGATTGGCATTGACAGTGATGCTTGCAAAGCACAAACCCTTTCCTGGTACTAATTAAATATTAATTTGTTAAACATTTTTCCCCTCTTTCATGAAGTCTAGATATCATGTACCATCACCACAGCTGCAGAGATTACAGAAGTACTACTGCCTTGGTTTTATAGCTTAAAGGCTTGCAGAAATACAGTGGTGCATTACATTTGTGACTGAGCTGGGCTTCACACAGCAGCAAGCTAAGCAGCGCTCGGTGAACTTTGAGGCTTCTGGTAGCAATGTGAATGTAATGCTGGGAGATTCCATTGAGCTGAATACAATATGCACTGCTTCCAGGGAAAGGGGCTTGGGTGGCTAGAGACCATCACAGAATTGCACAGTTTGGGGGGGATAATCTAGCTAAAGTAGGTTCCCTACAGTAGGAAAAAGATTTTGTGCCCTCTAATTGGGTCGATTACACGAACGGGGGGATTTTTTTGGCTTTGTTTCTAGGAACTATTCAAAACAAGCTGTAGGTGGTAGGGAAGCTTGGGGCAAAGGCTTCTGAGACAACTCCTGGAGCTGCTACGGGATGACAATGATAGCACTGATAGTTGCCCTCAGCTGCCTTGTTGTGAAAGGGTGAGATTCCAACAGGAGGCCTGATAATTGACAAAGCTGGGTAAACTCTTGTCAGACCTATTATTCCGGGTTGGTATTCCTCTACATAAAAACTGAATTGAAACGGAATTTATTCCAAAGGATCTGATATTCCAAAAAGCTGGAAGGTAGATGATGGAGACTGCTTTAAATACGGAAATAAGGATTATTATTTGTCTAAGAAAGTTTCAGAAAAAAAAATCTAAATTTATGAAAATATGTGTGCCCTGGTCCAATGAGGGTTGTCTTGGTGCCTTCAAGTCTGAAGCAAGCTGCTGTGTTAGACCTATGCATCCTTAGCTCTGGGCTCTGCAAGGGGTCTGGCAGTTGTGCTTCCAAGGGCAGCGCAGCGAGCACTGCTTTTTTTAGGCTCCTTTTTGCAGAAGCACTGTATGTGAAGCACCATTTCCTCCTACCTGCTGTTGTGATGTTATAGTAGGTCCTAGGGCGGAACAGAGGAGATCAGCATGCTCCTTGTTTAGCCACGTGGCCAAGGGAGCCCCAGCCAAGAATGCTTTGTGCATCTTGTGCAGGTTGTAATTTCCAGTACACCAGCAGAGCTGCAGCAGTGACAGCAGTTCACACGCAGCAGGTCGTACGGAGAAGAAAAGCAGGGAGTGTTACTGATAATGTTTGCTAACTTGAAAGCTTAATCTTTTGAATAACTTCCTGTAGTACTACGAAACCTATTTTCTCATGTAACGAGTAGTATTTGTTAGGCAATAATTATCCATTAGCTGGTAACATCAGAAGCAAGGAGTATTGTTAGTTTATCTCATATTCTAAAACTAAGAATGACTCTGAAGGCACCAACAGTATGTTGTCTGTGTTATGTTGAAGGTTCAGCAATTTGCAGTCATGGTTTTTGTATTGTATCTTAGCACAACATTTGCAGAAATGTTGAATTTCCAGTGTTTTCCCATATTTTGGGTAATAACTATTTTACCCCCAGTTTCTAGATGTTCTGATGTTGGTACAGTCAAACTATTTTAAGTAGTTTTAATTTAGTTCCTAGTTGATATATTATTTTTTGCTATTACTCTTTTTAGCTCGAAGACTTCCATTGTAACAGAAGAAAAATATTTCATTTGTTTACCAAAAGTAGCGCGCGGTCATTTACTAAGCCATATGCTGTGCTTCTGTTTTGCTTTTTTGCTCCCTTCTTACTCTTGTTAATGTGTTGAGTCTCTGGACTGCTTTGGTGGTTTCTGTGCATCCTCTTATGCTGATGGAGCCAGACTTGAAAGCAGAAGCGACAGGTGCCATTGCCCAGTGCTGCCCTCCCCTCCTCTGGCAGCCTTCCCCGTAAGGTTTGCTGTGAGGTGGAGGTGCACAACAAACGACACCATCTGCCACCCCCAGCAGCCAAGCCAGCAGCCCACTGTTCAGCACAGTGTGGGTGCCAAAAGAGCCGATCTCTGGACAAAATTCCCGCTGGGTTTCTTTCAGGCAGCGCAGACCGAACTTGAGCACCTTCACCGCGTCACATACTTTTGTGTGTCTCTAAAGTCCACCACAGAGAGATAAAAGATGCACTTAATTTGTATTTAATAACCCATTAGAAAACCACCTACCACACTGTGCACTCTGACTTACATAAAACACCAGAAAAAAATGAGGTTTTACCATCTAAAGCAAACTTCATC